CGGCTCTGAGGTTGTTGCTGCTGAGAGCGTTGTTGTTGCTGTTGGCCACCTTGTGGCTGCTGTGGCCGGCTCTGAGGTTGTTGCTGCTGAGGGCGTTGTTGTTGCTGTTGGCCACCTTGTGGCTGCTGTGGACGACTTTGCGGTTGAGTTTGCTGTCCAGACACTGCCATCTGTTGAAGTTGCTGGCGAATAGACGGGCCTTGTCTTTGTGGTGGTGGTCCAGCGCTCGATGAGCTTGTTGACGACTGTTGTGTCGAAGCCGATCCTTCCGAAGAAGTTTTATCTTTTTTGGGGTCTGTAAATCCGTGGAAAGATATCAAAAAATGAGTCATTCGTATGAACAACACATGCAAAAAATAATAATACAGAAATGATTACTACATCGTTCTATTTTGTTTCGCTTCATCCATTATATAATAAAAACATGAAATTCTCTTGCTTCATAGAAAAATTGTGTTAAGGTTACTTCGATAAGGTAATAATAACCAAACTAGTAGTAGTAGTGCATGCTAACACAGAATATAAATTTAAAGGAAATGGGTAATGTATTTTTGCTACTGCTATGGCTGTTTGCAGTCGCTAGTTGCGGTCTCAATTTGTTCTAAGAAGCATACAATCGAAAATCAAGTCAACCAAATATAATCCAACAGAGAATTGAGAGGGAAAATCAGAAGTTATCAGTTGCTTTATTTTTCATCGAGTCAGCAGAAAATAATTAGTCCCAATCAATTTTGTAGGTATCAAATTTCAAACATCAATTCTGTGTGTTATACACACACTGTGTATCATAAATGTCTGGTGCCACTAAGTTTGGTATCTGTATGCACATTTATACCGGATTGTGTGCTATTTCCTATTTGAGGCTGTGAGAATGAAAATGGCAATACAGGAATAAACATTCTGAAGCGCATCAAGAAAAAAAAAAATCGCAAAAAAGAATCATGAGTTCTGAATACGCAAAAGTGAACCATGAACCTCCTATGCTGCCCATGTAAATTCATGCTTCACTTTTGCATATTCAGAACTCATGATTCATTTTTGCGATTTTTTTTTTCTTGATGCGCTTCAGAATGTTTATTCCTGTATTGCCATTTTCATTCTCACAGCTTCATTTGCTACATGAATTTCATCATAATTTTTTCAACTTCGCATTTCGGCTGACAACCTGAATAAACATTATTTATCAAGTCCCTTACTAATATTGATTCGACATTTGTTGATTCAAAGTTCCAGAAATATTTGAAAATTTCATAAAATTTCAACGAAAAATATTGAAGAATGATAACATTGAAGAAAAAAAATGGCCGTCTTGGTTGGAAAAAATAAAAATATTTTGATTGTGATGGAATTTTAATGTCTACTTACATTTCTTTCCACCCATGGTGATTTTGATATATTAGTGTTTTCACTACTTTTGTGATTTGGAAAATTGTCAAAATTTCTCGCCTCAAATACTCGTTTACTCGGTTTTTCACGTTTTTTCCGAAAAATAATTTCACAATAAATATGATCTGTGTAGAAGTCCGTTCACTTTGGTATTCGCGATTGCAGTGAAGAACTTGACATTTGCTGCAATTGACATTTGCAGCTAACGAAGTGTTCGATATATTCAACACATCAAGTGTACGACGATGTTTCTATAGTTTCAAATGTTGTTTCTGAAAATGTGTGCAAAAAGGAATTCATTAATGTCAACACAGTGCCAGACGGTTGAAACCATCGAACATTGTGTTTCAACAACGCAATAAACAAAGAGAGGCCTCTCTTGGCTGCGTACTGTTCCATTGTGACACAGAAAAGACTATTACATTTTTAGTTTGCGATCAATTCGCTTGCCGTTGTACAGAAGGGAAAATTTGCGAACATCAACTATTTTCCTTTAATTCCATGGATTGGTTGAGATTCTAGAATTGTGTATCCACTTTGAAATATTCAATTTTTGAATGAAACCGAAACTGACTAGCGGTCAATTCTAATTGGAATGAAAATCAATCGAAACTCGTCCGTTGAATACCAAAATATTATTATTTACCTGAAGTCGACCGCTTTCATTGTGAACATTTGTTGATTCACATTCAACACAAACACAATAACAGCTTGGAAACACTCGGCACCATAGCGACTTGCTGAGAGATGGAATGCCAAAACAACGTATCCACGTTTGGATATACTCGCGTGTATGGAAACATAGAGCACAAATACAACAACAACACTCAATTCATATATGATTTTTTTTCATTTCTCATTACCTCTTCCATATTCTTCGACTGTTATGTGTGTGTATGTATGTTTTGAACTGGCTCGCTGCCGAGAGACTTCAATTTGTGAGTTTAGTGTTTTCTGGGAGAGCAATCAGTTGCAATGCGACAATGCATTGAATCGGTTAAGTAAGTTGTATTTTCCATCCAAATGCGTTCGTCATCATAATATCGATTACAATAAAATAACAGGGGAAAAAATAGTCACATTATCTCCAATCAACCTGTTACATATTTCGCGAATTTATTTCACATTTTTGCTTTATATCGATTTGCTATCGTGTTAAATCCAGTGATATTGTTGCTGTTTCATACTGGTTGAATTCATGTTTGGGTGAGTCTCGCATCGCTATTTAGCAATTTTGTGTGATGTGAAGTTCACATTGTGAACATATAGAGACGAATACAAAAAAAAATGACGTAAAATGAAGCAGCGAAAAAATTCTAGCGACGACCTTCAAAAACTTACAATTCAAAGTGTGGCTAAATCTCCATTCGAACGATCCCATACGAATTTAGATTAACAAAAAATTGGTTAAAATTGTTTTTAAAATGACAATCTCATTGCCATCATAGTGAGTTCGTTCGATCGAATACCTTTTGAAGGTTTACAGAAGAAAAAACAACATATGTTCCATAAAATTATATCCAAATTAACTTATTATTTATCTGGTTGTCTTGATGTATATATTCTTACATTGTTTTTCCATTTTGTGCAATGAAAACAAGCAGACAATCCATTTTAATGCTTCAAAGTGCAAACTCGGAGCTACAGTTTGAAATTATTAACAGTAACCATTCAACCGGCTACGTGTTGGCATTACAATTAAATCACATCGAATTCATGTTTAGCCACAATCAAGATGCTTAATAATGCACTAAACGACACGCAGAAAAGGTTTCGGAATTTATCCAAAGCAGATTTTTTTAAAAGTTAATCATACAAAATGTCTTTCGAAATGATACATAAGTCGTACGATTGAGTGTGCGTTTTTTTAATGTCGAAAATTGCAGGCAGGCTGATCATAATTATGATTGCCATTGTGTTTCTAGCAGCTGCCTAATTGCGTTTTGTTGTTTTTGTGATTTTAAAGGTCTATAAATAAACTGATTTGCTACAAATTTGCCGAAAATCGTTCTTAAAGGCAAACAAAAATTAAACTTAAGACATTTTGAATTGATAGTGATTGAATTCGCAGATGAATACTGAGCGAATGAAAAAGGTATAGCACTCGCTCCCATTCCAATTCCGTTTCCAGGTCATAATTATGCCATTAATTTGGTGTTTCAGTTTTTATTCTCTCTCTCTCTTCTGAACTTATTACGGCATAAATAATGGCAAAAAATAAACTTCGCGAGTTTTTTTTTGTTTCGTATTTTTCCTCACTTTCTGACACTGAATCAACATTGGTTTTTTCTGCTATTATTTCGTTGATTGACTGGCTTGTGTGCATTTCAAAAGTTCTTCGTAATTGTAACGCATAGCACAAACGTTCCAGTCGATGTGAAGTCATATGGAACGAAAACGTCTTGTGCTCTTATTTTATTATTTCCTGATGTATACTGGGCGAGAATCCGAGCATTTCTCGACATTAATTGTTCTGAATCTCTTCCGACTGTGGTAATTGCTGTTTGAATGGCAACGGCGGTGATGTGTTGTGCAATCGAACGATCTTGGAAATCCGTTGTATTGTGTGTGCATTGAGGGAAAACCATTTGCTGTAAGCTAAATTCGATTTCAGGCGTTCAAGCGAACATTTTTCACGGTAGACACATTGTGTTTCGTGAATATATGGTACAATGGCACAAAGTAAATTTAAGACCACGGAAATCAATTGATTACGCTGCTTATGCAACTCATGCCAAGGCGATTTTCTCAGATCATTTCGTCGGCTAATGTGTATTTCGTACGTTCGGGCGGGCGAAAATTCTCTCTTTCTTACTTTGACCACTTTCGTCATTCGAACCATCAAATGTTACTTTCCGTATTCATCATGATGTTTGACTCGAGCATTGTTTTCCAAATAAAAATTGGGTCACATTGTGTGCTCGCACACGTTGATTAAATGGTAATTTCGATGAGTTTTCTCTCTCATTGTCATGTACGATGTACATACATCGTACACAATTTTCTCACACAAAAGTGAAACATACTGTTATTATTTCGTCGCATTTTGAAATTGAAATGAAAACTGGTGCGGTTTTCTTGCGAAACGGTGGCGACGAATTTCATTTTCAGTATTAATTCCAAATGTATGGTTTGAAGGTTTCCAGTGAACGTAGAGATTGAAAAGCAGCGTTTCATATACTTGTTTTATATCGTTGTTGAAAATGTGTTTTTTTATTAGAATGATCTTATGAAATGAACAACTCAATGAATCAATACAGAATTATACAGGAAAGCCTTGACGGCTTGACCACAAAACAAGAATGAAAACAAAGAAACCGTTCGCATTGTAGAAGAACAACAAGAAAGACTGTAATTCTTCGGAATCGCGCCCAGCAAATGTTCTATAAATGGGCCGTCAAATGATAATCAGTGGAGGAAAAATAGCAGCTATGCCACATTGTATTCAAATTGATGAATCTATTGGCGCAATATATGGAAAATAATAGTGGATTGTTATAGCCGATTCGACGAATCCAATATGGAAGTTGAGTATGTATTAAAGTTACCGCAATTATTGTTCAGCATTTTGTTGTTCGACACTCTCTGTCAACAACATCGGATAGTTATCGCTCATTCCGAGCCGCGAATGGATCGTCAAATGAACAAACCACAAGCAATAGTACACACACACACACACACACACATTCAGTTCGAAATCTCTCTAAACAAATCGCGATTTTCTTTTCCGGTTTCGATTTGTGCGATGGGAAAATAGACTGACGAATCATTTTGTTGGGTACGCGTGCTGACAACAACGCAGCACAACCAAAGTGGAAAGAATTGAATTTACACATAACATCTCAAGACGAATCGACAACGACAATTTTCGATGAAAATGTTTCATTTTCATAAATTGCTTTGGTGCTTCGCAACAAGCCAAAACAAAAAGTTTCTTTTTACCTGCACGGTTAATTAAGCGAATGGGATAGCATTTGGATTGAGACTACCGGAATGATGTAAGTGATTTGACAGTCCGACCCTCGCTTAACTGATGATTTTCTATTCTCTACACGCTGAAAGACGAAGAAAAAAGAAGCACAGAATTTAATACGCATGCATGATCACTGCTACGATCCAACACACAAACACATTCAAACTGGTAATTATTGCGTACGGTAGATGGAAAAAAATCCAACCGACAAACCTCGGTTAAGCATTCGCTTAACGATCACCTTCTTTTCGTGTGCTACCTGCTCGAATTCTTGTCGGCCAAATTCATTTGAGCACACTTCAATTCGACGAATGGTACACTCGTAATGATAACAGATTCAATCATCTGTATTTATTTCAATCGCATGTGATCTCATACTCTGTTCAGCTCATCGAGAATAACAAACGTGGAATTTTGATGTAAAAAAGAGTGTATTGTTATTGAAATTGTTCCAATATTGTTGGAAACAAATGATAGAAGAAATGGTGTTGATTCAACAGACGTAAACGTTCCCGAATAATAGGAGCTAATTGAATTATTTGCGAGAACCGTTAAAAATAGATCGGATGACAATCTCGCAGTTGACTGAAAACGCATCGAATGGATTTGTTAATTAGCTGCCGCCGCCGTCGTCAATATTCACCGCATCAATGTAATATAAGCATTGAACAAATCGATATAAAGGCGTTTTATTCATCAACGTCATTAAGTGCTTGAAATGTCATCGAGTACATGCATTACCAGCGACACTCTATAAAACTACACATCCTCCACAAAATACCATAGAATTTACAATATTTTCGATATTTGAAATAAGTATACGCAGAAATAATAACTATAGCATTTTTATGACTCTCTTTTCCAGGTGAATGATTCAAGAGGCCTAATGGAGTAAACGAAGACGATATACATTCTGCGAAAGTTATTCTTGGATCCAGAAAAAAATTGAAGAAGAAAAAACTTAATCGAGCGTTGTGGCGAAGACGACAAACAAATACTGGGGGTGAATAAACCAGTTTCCAATTGAGTGAATCGCCAAGCCTACGCACAGCTGGAAAAACCACACAACGCAACCAAGCACAAACAAACAAAATCAGCATCATGTCCGAATTTTTCGAATATAAATTTTACACACGTGACAAACTGCATTGTGATAAATTTTTATACAATAACAAAACGTTCGAATACAATGTTAACGATCCGAAAGATCGAAGTCTTGCACTGAACGAGCTCAAGCAATTAATTGGCGAGAGCATTGACTTTGCTCTCAAAGATAAATCGTGCACCGATGACGATGAATTTTTGCTACGGTTTTTATTTGCACGAAATTTCGTGATTGCTGATGCTTTCAAATTGCTGGTCAATTATCACGGTTTCAAGCAGAGAAATGCCGATATTCTGAGCAAGATTTCGGCTTTGGATGAAGGCATACAATTGGCATTACGAGATGGATTTCCCACCATTATTCCGCAAAGAGATCGAAAAGGACGCAAAATATTGATTTTATTCGCCGCTAATTGGAACCCACTCACCTACTCGCTCATTACCGTATTTCGAGCGCTTCTTTTGTCCATGGAAAAACTTCTTGAAGATGTTCAAAATCAAGCCAACGGATTTGTACTGATTGTCGATTGGACAAACTTCACATATAAACAAACTGGCAGCTTACAATTGAAAGTCATCAAAATGATGATCGAAGGGCTACAAGTAAGTGACTCAGTATGAAAAGAACTTTAAACATTCATGGAAAAAAAAGTTCCATGAGCTCTTATCGGTAGATAAATATTATAAATTTCATTTGAATTGTTTGTTTTTGAATGTCTTATTTATTTCGACTTTACATTTATTTTTTAGGACTGTTTTCCGGTCAAATTCAAAGAAGTACACTTTGTGGGTCAACCATGGTATGTGGAAGCGACTCTCACCGTGATTCGGCCTTTCCTGCAGGAAGAAACACGTGAGAATCTGTTCATGCATGGAGCGAATTTATCAACATTACACGATTCCATAACCAAAGATGTGCTTCCGACGGAATTGGGCGGTGAAACGAAATCTGTAAATCCCTTGGATTGGGTCCACATTCTACTAGAATCAAGTCAAAATCCAACCGATGTCCAGCGATATCGTTTCACGCAATCGACAAATTACACGCAAACACCAAAAGCATGCACATCGAAGTAGATCCAGGGCTCATTTACACTGATTTTCATTTCCAATCTCAGCTAACATCCAGTTCTTCCAGTTCCAAACAACATATAAGCATAGACATTTTGTACTTAAGAGTCGATTAATGCGAGTAATTTGTATTACAATCATTTTTGGTATAGTTTAATATATTTTCAGAAGTTTTGTATGGATAGATAGTAATTGGTTTGATGTGCTCAGTATTTTTGAGTGATGTTTGAAACTATAATTAAATAATGTTAACGAGTTTAGAGTGAATTTAAAATCTATTTTCAAGGCAAAAGACAATATTTTTTCGGATTTCATAGAGTTTTTAAGCGAGTTTTGCACACATTTTGACGTCACATCGAATCTAATGAGTTGATTGTTATTCACAGGCACATGACATTTAAGCAAATTAATTTTTAAGAATCTTGTCTTCTGAAACTGCATGAAGCAAATGTTGCTCATCTCAGGCTGGCTTGTTCTAGTATTTAACAGTGTGACAAAAAAAATTAATTAGACACGAACATTTCCACAAGCAAAAACAACTTTCTCGAATACACATATAATACAGTTCGTTACGTAACTATGTGATAATCATGACAAATAAATGTTAATCTCCGTTTGACTTCATTAAAATGAAGCGAATTCAAACAAAGGAATAAGCTTATATCGATTCTCAAAAGTTGATTTTTTTCGCATTCATCACAACATACAAATCGGTTCTGATAAATTTGAGACAGAAAAGGAGAAAGTTCAGAAAATGATAAAGAAAACGTTGGTTCTGTACGTCGTTACGGATTAATACTCGCATTATCTTTATTTATAATTTGCAAATATTTTGATAGGTCTAGCGTATTTCGGGTATAATGAGAATAAATGAGTGTTCTCCTTTGTCTCGAATTTGCAATGAGAATTTAAGAGTTTAAGAATTTCAGATAAAATTAACAAATAACACAATCTATTTATTATGTGAGCCGTAGAGTAAGAAGAAAATGCAAATAAAAAGTGCATTGTACCCTCCATTAAAGATTACTTTCATTGGAAGTTCAATGTGAAATTCTTTTTCTGATTCAGTACGTTTATAAGAGAACGAAACAATAAGCATGAAACGGAACCGCAGAATGTGAACCATGTTCACAAACTTTCTTCTAAAAATTTATTCAAACCCATCGACCGTTTTATGCTGACAATTGCTGTAAACCAACAAAGAAAAAGCGAAACCGAAAAAGAGTGCCGTCAATTCTTCTGGGTTGAAATCGGTTTCATGCATAATTTAACCAATTTCTTTATTCGTGCCAACTGTTGCGTACGCATCTCCTGGCAAATTCAATGGATATGATAAATTGGAGAACAAGAATAGAGACAGAATATCATCATCATAGTATAGAGAAACAGTTTCATTGTATTCCAACGATTGCACAAAAAAAAATTGTTGCGTTTTATTCATTTATACTTCACCCAAATTCTACAGAATGAGTGAAAGACATGAAACTAGACATGAAACTAGACATGAAATGTAAGTAGCAGTACAACCGCGTAGTTTGCGTGCAAAATTTGAGGTAATTCAATTCTAGTTCAACAATAATGTTGTTCTTCCAGCGCAGCTTATTCTTTTAAACGTTACAAGATTCACCTTGAATTCAATTGAGCGTTTATGTTCCATTTAATTCATGGCCCGTACTTGTTCGTCTTTGTGTTATGCATTCAGACAGTCGGCCCGTCAATCGCTCGCTCACTTAGTTGCTCGTTCGCTTTAACACAATTGAGACCCCTCCATTCATTGTTGCGACTGGCACCACTGGCAAACGAAAAATCACTATCCCGATAAAAGAGCACACAACACACATCACATTATGCGTTGAACCAGCATTTAACAATCATTTTCCACCCTATTTTCGTGATTTCAAAGCACTTTACGGAGATTTAATTCCCATACATATATATTCGCTCCCGATGACTCGTAAGAGGATGAAATGGCACAAAAAAGTGGACGACGACGAATATAATTCCATTCGAGTCATTTATCGTTTCTTAGCAAAATGCCAACAAGAACATAAATATCCACTTGCGTTCTCTTGCAAACGAAGTGGAAAAGAAATCACACACAAATGATGCTACATTTGGAATAGCACTGTACATACGGAGCGGAACACAGAGACAGAAATCATTAAATAAATAACAATCTGTTGAATATAAAACGTTACAAAGCCACTTGTCGAATACATATGTACACACAGACCATGTGAATGTGGAGCACACACTGTTGATTGCGCGAAACAGGCGATATGAACACACAAGGTATATAATAGAATACATATAGACTTGCTGAAATGTATCCAATACCTAGTTACAGATACTTGTTGGCGTCCGTTCGATACGTACGCATTGATAGATCGCAAATTCAATTAATTTTTCATCGACTCGGCTGCTGCACTTTGTTCACTGACTAAATGGTTTGGGACGCTTTTTGGCTGTTATTAAACTAATTAACTCACAAACCCTTCAACACGAGAGTAATTATTCCTGTGACAAAAATAATACCTTGACGCTTCTGAAGATAATTTTTATTTCCGCCAATCTAGGCAATTTGTGCCTCAGTTTTTCTCAATGAAAGAAAATCTATTTTCACAAGACAATGAGCGCTTTCGAATTGTGCTTCAATGGGAATAAAGTTTTGCGACGATTGAAAAACACTTATTAAATAGAGTGGTATCACTTGGTTCCCTTTCATTCACTTTGATTCACTTAATCGCTGGGGGCGATGTTCTTTCTATTTCTAGATGGCAAATAACGTGTAAACGATATAATCATCGTTAAATGAAATGATTCACTTTGAACGTGTTTCACACATTTCGCAGCAAAATTCCCATCACTCGCCAACGTATGTATTTCCCCAAATGTAAACAATCAACGTCATTAAGGTGAGCGGTTGGCGTTATGACACTTTTTGTGTATAAAAAGTCGGAGAAAGACCAAAGAGAAGATGCGGTTACTACGTCATCATTTATACTCCTCATTTCCATAAACTGAATGGATGATATTAAAGTCGAACAAAAAATATTCGTACACAAAACAAATATGCGTGTGTTTGGTTATCAATTGTATTGTCTGCATGTGACACTGACCATGCTAATGTGTTTGATGTCAAAAGCAAGTACTCATCGAAAGCACACCACTTAAAGCGATTGTGACGACATTTGAATTGGTGCAGCTTTATGGCGTCTGACGAGATATCAGAGTGTGTATTTGTTTCTAAAATGCCTTTTTTTAAAGACTGATGATATGTATCAGATACAAGAATCTTATCGCATTCGATTTTGTTTTATTTCGCTGTGGTTTTCTCATGTGATGCTCAAAACAAGTTCGTGATTTGCACCGTGTGCTTGCCGATTGAATCTTCAATGTATTCATTCGATAGGAGCTGGAGCGTCGTAGCAATAAATTGTGAATTGAACGATTTCGAACGCTAGAATCGGTTTGGAGTGGCAGGCCCCTTCTATTGCATGCGTACTACACACGGATTGCAACAAACCACTGCTTTAAAAGTCTGTCATGGTCAGAACGGGTGTTCAGTTGCTTTTCAGCAAGCGTTGAGATCTCTTGTGCACGTATATCGATTCGGCGTGACAGACAGTGAACAACATTCTCCACATTTCTGCAAGGATTTTTGGTGATTTCAACTGAACAGTGCTTTTGTGATTTATTCACTTGTGATTTTTTTGGACTTGGGATTTTGAGCAGAAAAGGTAGATTAAAGAGGGCAAATGTCACCATTTTTGCACATGTTATTCTTTTTCTCATGAAACCTTATTGCATTAACTGTGATTATTTTTCAAATCAATTATTGCATCAACTTATTGGACTTTTTTTCTTAGTGGAAACCTGTTTTGATTAATTCTATTAAGAAACAATTCATAATCAATTTCATTCTGTTCATTGTAGTATCATTTTTTTTCTACGTATTGTGGATACTCTTTCATTTTATACAAATATTTATTCATAATTGTTCAAACTTTCAACAAATTTAGTTACTAGCTTCAAATTTTTTTTAAACCTAAATTCTAAATGAAAAAAACTGTCTTACAAATTATGTGAGGTAGAAAATTGTTTTTGTGCGAATTTCAAAGATCTTGAGCTTCGTTCATTTGATTAAATCTGCTAACACAACGATTTAATTGGCAAAAAATAGCAGAACAAATTATCGTTGGGTACGCGGTTATCATGCAATTTCAATAAGTTGGCTCAATCTCTATTCATTGAACAGAGCATAGCATGTGTATATAAGTTTATATACGTGAATTAAAATTGATTGCATTTCTTTTTATAAAAAAAAAAAACAGAGTCATGATAAGGAGAAAGCGTTAAAATGTAAACAGGCAAGATTGTTAGTTGTGCTCAAATCAAGTTCTGACATAAAGTGTTAGTGAATTATTAGTTTACGAGTTCATCGCTTTGAATGTCAAAGTGTTTTTATATCATAATTTTGTTAAATAAATCACAGAAATTTGACTGACAATAATAACATTTCATATTTGTAACTCTCTTGATAATGTTGAAAAAGTTCTGTAGATCAGATTTCTGACTAGAAAAAATTGACTTCAAGTGTCGAAAATTCGTGGATAGCAGAAAATTCAATAAAATATTGATGCTGTTATAAATTTAAATATATGTTGCGTACAAACAATAGTTTTCAACATTTTGATCAAAGTAAATTTCGTGAATAAACAAAAACTGTTTTAATGGGCTATCACATGCCATAGCATAATGAAGTTTTCCACAGCTTTCGTTTTACTTAGAAATAAGAAAAAAACTGAAATCAGTAGCATTCTTGTTATATTTCGTAATATATGTGTGTCCATATGATTTATATCACATTCCATTTTAAAATTCACTAATAACATTTATTTACTAACATCATTTTGCAAGCATTCATTGAAAATGGCAAAGTTTAACGAATCAGTAAGTATGCCCGAGTCGGACAGCCCGACTAACAAGATTATTCCTCAAATTTCGCATTTCAATTGATTTGGAATAGATGCAATACTTATGGGGGATACTAAAACTACTCTCGCAATCAACATGAAATTTATCATGAAGTTTCCTCGAAATAATTCAAAACACTTTTGTTAATTTTCGTGATTTTTACTTTGATAGATTGACATGGAGGTTCCAGAATTCAAGGATTTTGCCAAAGAGATGGTCGACTACATCGCCAATTATCTTGAGAACATACGTGAAAGGTAAAATTGTCAGTGTGAAAATATTCTAAACAATCGAATGAGTAAGAAAATGTGGTTTCAAGTAGAATGTCAAACTAATTTGTGGCCAATAAATAATAATAAACGAAGGCGATTTTATAGCAGCTAAACAAAGCAGACACATTAATTGTGAATTTAATCCGATTGTATCTACTTTACGCGAGCTCTTTTTATATTGTCACGAAGTTCAAAACATTACAACAAACTTGAGAATTACTCATGATTCAAAAAATGTTCCTTGCATGTGTAGTGAGAATTCATATATCTGCTGTTTTACCTTTCAATTCATTAACTCTGATTTTTTTTGGCTTCTTGTACTTGGTGTCATTGAGCCGAATCTTACATACAAGGTGATTGATGCCATTTGGCGCAGAAAAAATGTTCTCAGCTAATTGCGTACATGGCAGTTATTGGTTTAAATTTGAACTGACGAATGATAACAGCAAACACTCGGGTTGAAGTGCCTAAAAGCTGTCAAAGCACCTTGCCACTTACAACAAGCAGTTTGAACTTGACCTAGAAAGCTAAAAGTCTTAATTCAAATTACATCAAAATGTTCAATATTCATTTCAAAGTTGAATAAAAGCCATGAAATTCACCTTTTTCCGTTCGTTTATTGTACAAATGTAGGCGTGTATTGCCAAAGGTTGAGCCTGGCTACCTTGCACCGCTCATTCCGGATTCTGCTCCAATTAAGCCCGAAAGCTGGCAAGATGTGATGAGTGACATTGAACGCGTTATAATGCCAGGTATAACGCACTGGCACAGTCCACGATTCCATGCATATTTCCCCACTGCCAACAGTTATCCGGCCATTGTTGCGGTAATTTTCGTTTTAATTTTTCTCTTTTATATTGTTTTTCTACATTCAATTTCCGCCATTCATCAACACTTCATTTTTAATGTTTCATTTCGATCAGTGCATTATTTTTAGTTTAAATGTTGCATTAATTGTGTCTTTATTGAAAATGTAGGATATGCTCAGCGGTGCAATAGCGTGCATTGGATTCACTTGGGTATGTGGTTTTGCAGTGTTTCTTATTTTATTTTTCAACCAAGCCGCTAATTTGTAGTCGGTTATTATTTCATTTTTATTATGTTACTCACCGGTTTCGTTGTGCTATCTGTGATTTAGATCGCAAGTCCGGCGTGCACTGAACTTGAGGTCGTAATGCTTGACTGGTTGGGTAAAATGCTTGAGTTGCCGGCTGAATTTTTGGCTTGCTCCGGTGGTAAAGGTGGCGGCGTGATTCAAGGCACCGCCAGCGAGGCCACTTTGGTTGCATTGCTTGGAGCTAAGGCAAAAATGATGAAGAAAGTCAAAGAAGAACATCCAGATTGGGAGGATTCCGTTATTGTTCCGAAACTTGTTGGCTATTGTTCGGGTAAGTCTTGACTTTAAGTTTTAAAAAAAACAGCCAGTAGTTATCAAACACTTATAGGATAGTAATTGGGGCTTTATTATTTAGCAGAAATTTATCGCTTATTATCATTAATGAATTGTGAATTTTCGTTTTTCAACAAAAGCCCAAGCTCATTCAAGTGTTGAGCGCGCAGGTTTGCTTGGTGGTGTAAAATTGCGTTCAGTTCCAGCGGATGAAAATAACCAGCTTCGAGGCGAGACTCTTGAAAAGTATATCCGAGAGGATCTCGACAAAGGTCTCATCCCATTTTATGTAAGTGAATACTCATTTGAATGAATTTTAAGCCAAAAAGCTGTTCCAAAGCCCAATTTTCTTTTTTTCTAGATCGTTGCAACTCTTGGTACAACCAATTCGTGTGCTTTTGATCGTTTGGATGAGGTCGGTTTGATTGGAAAGAATTTCGACATTTGGGTACATGTGGATGCTGCCTACGCTGGTTCCGCTTTCATTTGCCCCGAATATCGTCCCCTTTTGAATGGAATTGAAAATGCCGATTCATTCAACTTCAACCCGCACAAATGGATGCTTGTCAATTTCGATTGCAGTGCGATGTGGTTGAAAGATCCAAACTGGGTTGTGAATGCATTCAATGTTGATCCATTGTACTTGAAACATGATCAACAAGGTTCGGCTCCTGATTATCGCCATTGGCAAATTCCACTTGGCCGTCGATTCCGTGCGCTGAAATTGTGGTTTGTGTTGCGATTGTATGGCGTGGAAAATCTTCAGGCCCACATTCGTCGACACTGTGCGTTTGCCAAGCAATTTGAGGCTCTTTGTCGCAAAGACGATCGATTCGAAATCTTCGGAAAGGTTCAAATGGGCTTGGTATGCTTCCGTTTGAAGGGATCAAACGAATTGAACGAAGCCCTGTTGAAACGCATCAATGGCCGTGGTAAAATTCACTTGGTTCCATCGAAAATCAATGACGTTTACTTTTTGCGAATGGCCGTTTGCTCACGATTCACAGTTTCAGAGGACATGGAGTATTCATGGGCCGAAGTCGGCGCAGCTGCTGACGAAGAATTTGCTGCTCAAAACAAAAACTAATCGAAAATGAGACAGTATTGAAACCAGATTTCATGAAGCTAAATAGCAGTGTTATTGATGTTGTATCCAAACGTTAACACAAAATTGGGACCAATCCACTAGAAATATTCGTTGTCACGTTGTAAATACGAGTAATTTAGTTCAATGTTATTACTTAGCTCTTAGATATTTAATTTCACAAAAAGTTTAACTTATTCTAAGCAAAAAGTTTTATTCATTTTGGAACACAGTTGTCATTGTTATGAGAAATGCTTAAAAATATTGTATTGTTGGTGTAAAATGTTAATATTTATTCGAAATGTTAAGTTCAAGCGATTCAATAAAAATTTACGCTAAAGCAACAATAATTTTTAAATATTCTTGATAACTGAGCACACGCGAACATCACGCTCGAATTATTATGGATGATTAAGAGCTCATCCATAGACGTACCATCTCTTGATAAAAAAAAGTCCATGAATGGAGAGACTGTTATCGTCGGTTGATGGATCACGTCTTGGTGGATGATTAGATACTGGTCTCTTTTTGTCGATTGTGTGTAAAGGTTTTTTATAAATGCAGAATCAACAACTGAATCGGTCAGAATTATACGAAAGTATAAAGTAAAAATAACGAAGTTCGTCTAATGAAAAAGTTCATGTGCAAAAGGAATGTATTTCGGCGACACTTTCAGTGTGAGCGTGTCAAATTTGCATGAAGAGAATATGAAATTTGACTTGGAAACCTGAGAGAGATATGAATTTTGTACTGCAAATGCGTTAAATCAACGCAACGCATACTCGTCAGCAGCTGATATCGGCAACTAAAGTTAGTTAGTGCTGCTGACATCAGCTCATAACACGCTCTGCTTTCAGTCAATTTATGTTCCTCGGGATAAATTTATCCCAAAGATAAATTTTTTTGGTCAAATACCAAAATTTCCAGCAATTATTACTTATTGTAAATTGATGTTAAACTTTATTTCTGTTCTTATTGGTGCCATAAATATGGAAAATTTCCAGTCATATCGAATTTTTGTAATTTTTTTTTTATACCAGGGATAAATATCGGTGAGTCAATTGTCAATTTTTGCCCAAAAACACAGTCAAACTTGAAGTTCAAGCCAATATTCTCTGGTTTTACATCACAAATTTTAATAAAACGGATATTTCGAATCAAGTTTTTGAAAAGTTTAAAAACAGTCCCTTGTCTATGTTATTTTGCATTTTTAAAGGACGCTTTTACGTATGAACATTTTTCAGACTCACATTTCGATAACAATATTTGATTATTCTAACCGATTCAGTTCAAATTGATATTTGGAATTTCCATCAGTTTGATTTTTTATTTTCTTCTTATTATCTTTAATGGCCCATTGTTTTCTGTGGAAAAAAATGAATAATCAAATCGATTATTATCGATAAGATTATTTTTGTGCCAAAATTCACTAAATGAGAGGCCGTGATTTTTGTAAGGAATTCAGTTAGTTTTTTGTCTTGCCAAGTTTAGGTTTGATCCTAACAATGAAGTTCATCGTTTTGCTCGTTTCATCCTTACTTTTCGGCAGTGGCCTCGTTAATTCAATACCACTCGCATCAACAGATAGACAAGATGCAGTAACAGGCTACTTAATTGAATTAGGTAAATCTTGTAAACGCATAGATTTAGTTATTACATAAAACTTTGGTTAAGTATCATTCGAAATATATTTAATAACATAACCATATTTTTAAAGGAACTGAAGTGGGAAAAAGAGTACAATAAGACTGAATTCATCGAGGCATTCAAATCTTTGGTTTCAGAAAAACATCAGACGGTTGAAGAAGTTGTTGAGAATGCAAGAGTAGGATCAAATGATTTTATTCCTTTCATTTCTGAATAATAAAATCATTTTATAGAGAGTCTTTGCAATGAATTTGAAGTTTGCCAGTTCGAATACATTTCGTACCATAGTGAATGTATTCAAGGAAATGTACTATGTACGTGTTTTCGTTTTTCTTTCTATTTTGGTTCGAAATTGCCAATATTTGCATGTTTAAATAATATGGAAAGATTTTTTCAGTCTATGATTAAATTTAAAAAGTATATACCATATTTTCACATGTTAGGATTCCAGATATATGGATCAAGCTATCATATCGATAATAACCAAGTTTCCAAATAAAGCTAAGTACACAGTTCCTCGTGAAATGAAAAAATTTCTCCGGTGAAATGTTCACAGGTGATATCTGTATAGTGTTTTTTATTTTCGAATTGCAAGCATAATGATTTTTGATGTATGAAACAGTCAACTCCCTCCAATATCAACACAACACATGAACAAATTTGAATTTTGAATTCTTTCTTTAATGTATTTTGGTCTTTCTTATTTTTTCACGGCCGTGAAAAAAATTTCGCGTACATTTTGCGCGCGAAATATTTTTCACGACCGTGAAAAAAATTTGTTCAGACAAAACACATAGAAGAATGAACTCAAAAACCGAATTTGTTCATATGTCGTGTTGATATTGGAAGGAGTTAACTGTTTCATGCATCAAAAATCATTATGCTTGCAATTCGAAAATAAAAAAATACCATACAAATATCACCTGTGAAGATTTCACCGGCGAAATTTTTTCATTTCACAAGGAACTGTGTACTTAGCTTAACAAGGAAGCCTTGGAAGAAATATCGAAAAACATTCAAAAAATTGCATTTCTTCTGGCAAAAGAAGTTGAGGGATTTGGAACGATTTATCCAGGATATATTGTTTTCGCAAAAAAGATCTTGGAAGATTTGAAAAATAAAATAACACTTCCAGATTTGGGACCCACTACCCCAGGACAAACAACTCATAACTTGACAAATGCAGAGGTGTAATAATGATTTGGAAATATTTTTTATGTCATTTAAATTTTTTATTTTCTTAGAATATATTGGTTTCTTTCGCCGATATGTTGCTATGGGAGGATATGTCCTTATGCGTCACTGAAAAATATAACGAATTATACTTAGAGGTATATATTGACACAAGTTTACTGTTAGAAGTAAATTCAGTTAATATGTTCCATATTAATTTTATAGGTTTCGGATTATATTGAAAAATACATCAAGTCAATAGCATCCAAGCCTGAAGAAGTGTTAGGAACCATTGTGGAAAAAGTAAAGAATATCAAATCTTAAGTTCTTGCCAATGTTAACCAACAAATGGTACGTATGGAAAAATGAGCAGTTTTCAAACCAAAACGACACTTCTAAAATCACATAACTTTTATGTATTTTTCGCATACAGGAATTCATTAAAAGAATGAGTGAATGGAATGAACTTTTGGAGATCCGTAACAATATTAAAAATCGGACCTATTAAAAAACTGAAATCTTGAATTGTTTATCAATCTGCATGATGCATTTAGGAAGAAGAATAGTAGTCGTTTATCACTAAACTAAAATTCGAATGTCAATAACAATATAATTGATGTAAAAATTAAGTCAATGAATTAAAGTCAACACAATGAAATTTTTTTTTTATTCTTGAAATAAATAAGCAATATTTGAAAACGTGGAACTTCATTTTTACATTCAAACCTGATCTCAGATAAGCCTAGCGTTACGACTTGGCATAAAGATATGCCAAACGTCATGTATAGTGCACACTCTGTCGTGTTATCATGCTGTTCACATGTGTCACTTTTGGTGTGCAAAACACGCGCGTTCCATATGACGTTTTATTTTCGTCTGTTTTTTATCGATCATAAGAAATTTTGGAATCGGTGAATGAAGATCTCTTGAGATTGTTTGGTCATGTAAAAAGAATGAAAGATGTTCATTCAGAGAAAAAATGTTATATTCAGAAGCCAATGAACGTCTAGATGGAATTAGGCAATAGCCAGACATGCGCACGGTCAAAATTCTCAGATGAGGGTCTTGGAAAAAAATTCCTGTTGAAAAAAAATTGAAGACCTAAGAAAAGGAAAAAAAGGTCATTACTTTGAAAAATCTTTCGATGGGGGGTCTGGAATTGAAAACGACAGATGGAGGGGGACAAACAGGAAACTCCCTCCCCCCTTGCGCATGTCTGGGAAATAGCAGTTCAACAATTAACGATTTTATGTCGAAGAATTTGGACCATCCGTTGTTGTCATTGCCAAGTGCAAGCATTAATTACAACGATTTTAATATGCAGACAGATATTATTCAGAGCAAATCGGCAATTTCGAAGCAGCAGCAATCAATTCCGGGTATTGTTGATATTCTATGGTATTTACTTGATTTTTTTACATTTCTTGAGGTTTTTATCAGGTGGCCCGGCCCACTCATTATTACAAAATTTTAGGATGCCAAAAATCAACACTTTGGAAAATTGGTCAGCAATTTATTTTGAAAAGTTAACGAAATTCGGCTTCTTAGAACTTTTTGCTTGTTTCAATAGCTATCCAACGGTAGTCCAATGACTCCACATAAGTCCTCATAGAGTAAAAATTATAGCCAAAATGGCTTAGGTGGTCCACTCATTACAACATTCCCCTATTTATATTTTCGTTTGAAAAATTCTGTTTATTGAAAAATGTTCTACAACTCATTGCTATTGCATGTAAAAAAATCCTCAAAAAATGATACAATTGCCAATGATAAGTAAACATGGCTAACTCTTTCCTTCTTTTCGCATCGAGACCAAAAAAAAATGCTCGTTCACAAATATCGTTTCGTGTACAATAAACATCATATAAAAAAATTCTTATGCATGCGCGAAAACGTTAGAAGCGTTGGTACTATTTATTACAACTAAAAGGAAACTATGAAATCGAAAGGCAATTGGGATTTCTGACAAAGGAATTTTTCTATTTTTTTTATTCGATTTCCTCTTCAAATATCGTGTTCACTCATATAATCCATAAGCTGGTTTCCATACTTGTACTGAACACATTCTATTGATGATTGCTTTATTTCTTGCAATATCATCCTCAAAAATATGAGAGATTCGTGGAGTTTAGCTTCGGACGCACGTAGTTCTGAACACGACTTTTCGTATATGCTTTCCTGTAGAAGAGTGGAACAATTATTGTTTTTGTTTTATCGAAAAACTGTGGAATTCTATACATACCGCATTAAGCAAATGGGGACTTTGAATGTCGTCGTTGAGCTGACGCGCTGCTGTTAAAATTTCACCTATTTGCTCAACTTTATCCCTGTACACTTCACAAAATGCTTTACACTCGTCAATTTCTGTCTGTAAGGTCCGAATTTGATCATACACGGTACCAGAGTTAATGTCTGTTGATAGACCCATTTCTGTATGATTGTCTGTTGTTGAAGGTCAGAAATTATTCTCTGCAAAGAAAATTTGGATGCTTCTCCAAGTGAACACCAATTGTAACTGTTCATTTCAAATCAAATTTTCGATTTATATGCACAATTTGCTGAACCTCAGGTCAATTTTTCCTGCTAAATAAATCACGGCTAAAGAAAGTGGGTAAATTTTTTAGCTGTAAAAAACAATATTGTATATTTTTTTACTCTTATAGAAGTTTATTTATAATGAGCTTAACAAAATTTCGCGAAATGACCAAAATAATCCTCTAGCCTGTCGCTTTGTTACTTTGTTCCTTTAAACCATATCTTCATGTTGTGAGATAATTTAAATACAATTTAATCCATTTTTTTCAATGTTTCTGTTCCCTTTCTCCTATTGAATATCGAATCCCATTTTGAATTCTGTACGCGTAATGACATGTTCACTAGCGACATTATATCTTGAACTTGACCCTCGACCAGCTGTAATTTCTCTTCCAAGTATGCAACATTCACATCCTGTAATGTGAAAATAAAACCACTGTTACACTGTTTGGTTGGCATAATTATTTATTTCAATTACCAAAGCCCGCATTTTCTCCACGATTGCGTTATGATTATGAGAATTTGGTGCTAACAAATCGACCTCTGTTTTCAATCGATCTTTTATCTCTTTCATTCTGCTCATTTTTTCTTTATTTTCTTCCGTGGCTTGTTTAAATTGGTCGAGTTTACGATATAAACACTTGGCACACGATAGAACATGGGTGTTGACATCAAGTAATGATGTATTCTGATTCCATTGATCACACATTCTATCAGACTTTCTCTACAAGAAACAAACGAAAAAAAATTTAAAAATATTTCCACATTCGGAATTTTTGATGATTTAACTGTAAATTACCTTTAAATATTAGTTAACACAACTGAAGAATTTTCGAATAATTTCTTTGGAAAAACAAACAATTTCTATAAAATTGTAAAAATACGTTGAATTATTATAAATCGAAATCAAATGCAAACTGATGTTACTTCACTCCAAAAACTGAGTTTGAAAACGAACACTTCCAATCAAATCGAATGCCAGTAGTTTTGTTTTAAGTGATATACATGTAGACACACTTCTTTGTTTACAAAAATAACATGTTTGACAGTTTTTTCAGATGATCTCTGTAGTCCTTTGTTTCTTGAAGATGATCACTGAACAAACTATTTGTTATCGCTTCTGAGAATTATTTATAGATAAGTGTGATTGAAATCGAATTCGGTTGGAAGCAAACACTATTTATTATATCTTATGTTCTATTGTTCTTGGAACTATGTGTCTTAAACTTTACCATCAGCTGCAACTCAATAACAAATCCAAACAAATCCGATTTTCGTCAAAAACGTTGAATTCTCAACATTATTTGGTACAAAGTATGCAGCCAGTTTGCGTTCAAATGAACCGGGACTGGACTTAACCTCACTTGGCTCTGGCAAACAAGCAGACAGTTTGACAGCTAATGCGAAATTGACAACAAAAAGTGCACATATTTTTCTGTGTCGTGCAATTCAAAACAAAAATAAAAATACAGCAAAATGTGCGGGTGTGTGCATATGCCTATGTGACAGACTTCATGCACTAAAACGGAAACATTTTGCTTAATATGTTGCAAATATATCGAAAGCCCATACTTGATCAGTAAACAATTTTTTTTGCTTGACAATTGCAAGCATTTGAATGTTTGTCATTGCAAATGAGTAATTTGAATGTTATTCAGCCAGTCAAGTGATATCCAGTTTGTATTATGACCAATTCAAGTCAATTTTATGAAGGTTGTGGCCAAGAAGGACCCATTCGTTGTATATTCCTGAGTGAATTTCATGATACCGCCGGTTCGAAAATTACGTGTCAGGTAAGGTCAAATTGCGGAATGTGCACAAAAACCAAATCGATAATTTAATTTGCATTGATGATTCACAGATTCCAGAGGGTTACGTATCAAAAGAAGTATTTGACGCAGTCAATGTGTATATTATTCCGAAGCCACAATTACAAGGATGCGTGCTCACGGTGTAGGAAACAAAACTATTCTTTTTTAACGAATTATAATTTCACATTTTTCATTGGTTTTATTAACTTTTCTTCTTCAATCTCAAACATAGAAATGCTCTGGGCTACAAAATCGTTGGATACCCCGTGAGAATTGAACATCAGAGATATACACGCAATGCTTTTTACTTTAATCTATGTTTCGTTTGCGATTCTTGGGCTCGTACCGTTCAATACGAACCGATTGTACGGAAGCTATCGGAATATTTCAAAATGATGGAAGCCGAAAGTACGTTCTTATCGAAGGATGAAAGCAAAGAGAACGTCTTCAAAGTATTAAACAAAGTGCTAACTGATTTGAATGCAAACAAAATGACAACGATAATTGAAGGGGAAACAACAATACATCTGAAAATTATTTCGCACTTTAGCGATCCACCAATGATTTACGATCACCTGGTGCCCATGTTGAACGACCGGTTCAAAGACATCCCGAGAGAAGCGTGGGATTTAACAACGCAACAGGTTTGAATTATTTTCACAACAAAACAGTGAATTGTTCTGAACAACAAGTCTTATCATTACGTTTGTCTTCGCAGGTGTTGCCCTACATCAATGGTATTAATCACATCACACGTATCGCTGCCGATTCGGACGTAGAAATAGGTTTGGTTAAGGCTTGTATACAGAATTTAGTGTATTATCAAGTCGCCGAAGTGCTGCCACTTCTCAAATACAGCAATGTTTACATGTGCACACGAAACCTTCAGAAACTATCCACCGACAAAGAACTGACACAAGCATGCAGGAATTACGTCGCTTTGCACCCACCGCCGACACCACTGCCTTCAATTTTGAAAATTTTACGAATTTATTCATATATGACTCATGGAGTCACACTGAAGGCGTTGTGTACCCGAACGACTCCTCGGGATGTCAACATTGACGAAAGGTAATTTACAGCAATGATTGGAATTTAAATGCTATCTTTTTACATTTTCCCAAAATTGTTCACTTACCATCAACTCTTTTTCATAGGAAATTAGTAACATTCGGAATTCTACATCATTTGATTCGATGCATCAACAAATATCCTGTGTGCATTTCGGATGCACCTATCTCTCGTCAGCGCTTTTACACCGGAGTTCATCATATCGACGAAATTTGTTGTAAAGTAACTGGTTTAATGCCAGCCAAAATTCAAGAAGATCTCGACAAAGACCCCTTTGTCGTCACGATATGCAAGTGATTTCTTCTGAAAAAAAAAATCATCAATAAAGGATCTGGTTGTGTTATGCTTTACAGTACTGTTTGGAATACTTTCCACGGAGTGCCACGGAGTGGAATGAAAATACGTAATTTTAGTTCAATTTCCTCTTTTATTTTTGTTTCTTACATTAAAAATAACTCTGAATACATCGTTCTTTGCAAAAGAATTTTAGTCGAAATTTGATAAGTTGAACATTTGTATTATATTTATGTATCTGCCTTAAAAAATAAATGTATTAGAAGCTAAATGATTTTACCATGGAACTGGCAACACACTGATTTCTTTCTTCAACTCATCGTACAAGTCTTTGTATTCGGGATGCTCACGAACTAAAACAGTGACTGTACCTCGCTTCACGCCCATCGCAGCACCCAATTCATGACGGCTTGGAACGTATGCGTATGGAACGCTCTTCTCCTCGCACACGGCTGGCAAATGGCACATAATCTCGATCGGCGACACATCACCAGCGAAGAGAACGATTCTGGAAAAAACGAAAAAAATACTGTCAAGAAATATTCAATTGGATTTGGAATAGATTTTCACTTTTTCTGCAATAAAACTAGACTTACCCAGTTTCGCCCTTCTTCAAGCGGCTTTGCACATCTTTCAACCCATTTCGCAAGAATGTCTTTTGTTTGGATGCTGTAAAAAAGACACAAATTTCGAAATTAGATCCACAAAATCGTCAAATAAAAGTATTTGTTATGGATAGATAATTTTACGGTAGAAAAAAACGTGTACACACCTTTTTTGATCAATTTCAAGCATTTCTTGGTTAATTTCTTTGGTGCCATTGGCTTTGCAATCACCGAGCAGTTCTTGAGTTTATCTTCGTAGGTATCTTCCTCTTTCACCGATACTTCGCCAATTTCTTGAGTTTCATCAGCTGATTGCTTTTCCTTCTTTACTTTGCCCATTTTGATGAAAAATTTCCTTGTCGAAATAAAAATTCAAAACTATGTATCGCACGACGAGACGGCTTCAAAACACGTGTGTAGTAAATATGATGTTTCCAATGTGTGTTTGACAAACGAGAGCGTTAATGTGGTCTTGTCTGATGTTCTACGGTGCGTTTGACACTTCAAAACTTACTGTAGCCGCCACCAGATGTCACAGCTCATCAAAGATCTTTTTTATTATGTTTACTTAATTATTATCTATATTAAATGCTTTTCAGATGAAATTCAATCCCTTCGATAAGGCAAAACAGTCTTGAATCAACCAAATTCAGTCTAGAAAATGTCCACGTTATAGTTCATTCACGTTTTAAATTCATCCGAATCGGCCAAATGCGAAAACAACCACATTCAAAACATGCACAAAGACAAATAGAATGCATTGGAATTCATTAAGCTAAGTCCAGTCGCTTGATAAATGTTGGAGTGTGTGAACAGTGAACACAAGAAACCGAGAGTTAGTCAATAGTAAACAATGGCGTTGCGCGAATGAATCATTTGCTGAAAACGTCTCGAATCGACTGAACAGATTTTTTTGTTAACATATTTGGATTGGCTGTGCGAATGATACGGTGACTCTAGCAAAATTTACACCGTTCGTCCGGAGTTATTCAGTGCAAATTAGAAAGTGTAATATGTTGATTTTAATTTTGTGATCAAGCCATTTGGAAGATAAAAAGTGAATGAATAAGACAATATTTAACTTGGTCTGAGCATCGACAAGGACTATCGAAATCAAAATTGAAATGTCTTGTAATTATGATTGAATGAAAAAAAGTGGTTGTAGTGTTCATTGCGCACAACAAGTAAAGTGACTGCAAGAAAGTCGAAACCTTAACTGAGGACGTACACACGAGTGACGCAATCACAAAAGTATCGAGTAGAAACTATTACCTAGTGATAAAACAGGTGAATATATTATTTATCCAGTGATTTATTTTTCGCTTCATCAATTCGAAATATGAATTTGGGAAGAGATAAGAAATCCCGTACATTTGCTCAGTTTGAGTCAATGTCTGTTGAATGAAAATAAAAATCTGCAAAATAAAAACCAGAAAATGCGCATCAAACATATGGCCGGTAGTCTTACAAATCGAGTCATTGAATTAAATGGAATTTTTTGTTCGAAATTGAAATGTTTACGCAACAAAATGTAGCAATTAAGCTGTAGATTTGATCCAGATGCCAATGCATTATCTAAACGCAGCCCAATTTAAATTCATGTTTTGCATAGATGCTTTTTGACTTAATGGCAATACTATATCTGGAATTCCGATAGTGAAACAGAGCAGTTCCTTTGTTGTGATTATCAGCAAATTGCGCTTATCGCTTTAAGTGTTTCCCTTTTTTTAGTAAATATGGATAGAGTTGTAGGGTGTGCGACAGATATCTTTATTCCTAGAAATGGCTATGTGCGATAATGAGAATGTCGTCGGTTTTGCGGCCGCCACAACAATTTTTTTTATCTATTTTGTTTGTCTCAAAGGCTAACGATTAAAGAAAAATTGAGTCAATTGAAGTATGATCTGAGCATAGATGATTGGATTATACGCTTGCAAATAGCTCACGCCGCAAATCGCTTCTTTGTTCGAATGAAACGTAAGCAAATGACAATTATAGTCCGGAATTTTTATTCTTTTTTCCCCACATTTTCGTTGGCAGTCGTTGTTTTTTTCTTCTTTCGCATCTCATATCCATTTGTCCATGTATTAATTAAAATGATTTGTATTTGTGTATGAGCTAAGCGTGTTTGTTTACATTTCGTGTACTGATCGCGATTAATACGCGAGATTGTTCGAACGAACGCATGAGCGGCAAAGTGCAATAAATGCAAAAAAAACATGAATACATACATAGAGGAAAGAACGGCATTTTGCAATCGTAGCACTCGCACATAGCCATAGTTAGTCGAGTAATTCACTGGAACTCACACATAATTAGTAACACACTCTTCATTTCAATGAGTTTTATGAAAGGAGTGAGAAAGACGGAAAACATACCGAAATGTAGGTTGCATCAACACGAATGCTTTTTTTCCTTCTTCTTTTTCGCCTTTTTTCGTATTTTGCACCATACTCTCGACGATAGAGTCTGAAATCACTCGTGCCAAAGCATAATTATCAACAAATTAGGCGCAATTTTTTTTTTGGTTACATGTCGAAATGAATATTTATGGCAAAGTATTTCAAATAGTCTTTTTTTAAATGTTTCTTTAAGATCGATGACATATCTGGTTGAATTGAGCCCCGTAATCGTTATTTCGTATCAACCATTTATGGAAAAAAAAAATAGAAGAATGGAAAAACAATGTTTATAAAAATATGAACAACACAAATATTGACATTACAAATAAAATGACAAGCCACGCTCATTTATAAATAAATACCAGTTTCTGGAATGAGAATAAAGATTCACATTCATACACTCATACACAATTCATGTGAGAGCTGTAAAGCTTTCTCATCGTATGACTCATTTTTGTGAATTTATGTTAGAGTGGCAAAATATCCGTTTGTTGTTTTTCATCGGGTCATAAATGTTTCTGTATCATTTCGTAATATTTCTTGGGAACGTTTAAACCTTTTGCAGTATTTCCGTTCATTGAACGAATTTATGTCGCTTTGTTCGTTCAAGAGTTAAGTGTTGCTCCAAATAGATTCTGATTATAGCCGGTTTCTAAGCATAAATCCAGAACGTACAGCATAAATTTGGCCATGATTTTCGGACTAAAGTGCGTTTAACCAAACCCAATTGACAGTAGACACATTTTGAAGAGTTGAAAAAATGTATGGTGGCGATGCGTGACGGAATAACAAAGAATGAATGAACTTAATAGTTTTCAATTAAACGCAATTATCGGGCGACTCATCATGTTGAGAATGCAATCAACCAGCACAAAGACTCCAAAGATTATTTACAGTTTGATTTAGTGATTTGGAAGTTACGATGCGTCACAATCGTACGATTTTGATATTAACGAACAGTGAATTGGAGCATGAAATTCATATATTTTATAATGTTTCTATTTTGCTAAATAAGTAGTGGCACAGTGACACACGCGCCCAAAACAATTTCAAACCGGATCATCCCATCGACGAAAAACAAACAACAACCGAATTTAAATTAGTCACAAACAAACCGAAACCATAGCAGCATATTTCTCTCTCTCATAAATTGCAGTACAGATGATATGATCGTTGATGAAGTGATAATTTTTGCGTTGTAGTTTGTCCGCGGAATTGAGTGCGGAAACGGTGCACTTTGAAATGAGATATAATGTGCATATGAGTAATTCCCCACTTCTCAGAAGCATCTTTCCTCAATCAATTAAGCGTTCGCTAGCCTTTGTCATCGAATGCACTTAAAAGGAATCATAAGACTTATGAATCAGACACGTTTTTAGAATCATTGGATTTTTTTACGCGCTTCCTTCAATCGAAGCTCGCAATTTCAAGCACATGCTCCAAATTAATGTGTTGTTTACTCTTTTTTTTTGATTGAGGGGCTATTTGCGAATTTTTGCGTTGAATCTTTTCCATCAATTGCAGCGTAGCTTAACAAAGTGTTTTTCAGCCTTTTTACTAATTCAATTAAATTCATTGTGTTGCAGGGCTCATCAGATTTAATAGCAAGCGATGGATAAATGTGGTGAAGAGCAAACGCCAGTTCCGGTGCCAAAACCACGACGCCATAACAACAATACCGATGCCAATCTCAACAATAAGCTCGCCTATGAAAATGTATCGATCGATTTGATAAACAAAAACATCAACATCAAAGATGAAAATATACAGAACAATTCCAAAAATAAACTCCAGACGAACAAATTGTTCTTGATGGCAAACACGTCAACGACTTCAAACAACAATACAGACACCACACCAGGCACACAAATTTTAACCAATTTAAATGATTTGGCAAATGCTCCGTCGAAAAATCAGAAAAATGCTGCCATTCAGCTGGATGAAGTGAATAAATTGAGCAATATATACAATGACGATGAGAATGTGAATGTGAATGTGAAACCAGTGCCAGCTCCGCGACGCCCAAACGCCACAAGCGGTGTGAAACAATTCAATTGCACTCCATCGACGGGGGCCATCAATAAAAAACCCACCACCATTGATATCAACGATTTCATTGAATCGCCAAAAGCAAAAACAAAAGCGAAACATGGTAAAACTTCGGGAAGCTACAGTTTTATGGATGATGACGAATGTGATGGCAACAGCGATGATCCGCCGAAGAAGTTCAGCTTGAAGAAACGTCTGTCAAATAGTTCTTTGAGCTCAAGTGGCAGCTCAATGACTGAAGGAAGTGGCTTGAAATATAGTTCAGCGTCGCCTGGGTAAGGACTCATTTTCTTGATTCGGTTATTATGTATGTATGTGTTGGTGTTGGGCTTTTGTCTTCTAAATTCTCCCACTTTCTTTGCTTACTAAACTATCTCTCCTCTGCATGTTGGTTATTTGATGTAACTAAAAAAATTTCCTTCTGAAACCGACACCCGACCATCTAGGCATTTGCTGAAGGCGATCGGAAACACCTCAAAACTGCTTACCGAGTCCATAACCGAACGAGTTACAACTCGAACCAAGGATGCCAAACATAAAATCGAACAAATCCAAAAGTCGTCACGCGATCGCCTGGCTGAAACCACTAAATCGGCTACTAATAAATTGAAATCTGTGCGCAAAAATCTTCATAGCACGCTGGAGATGACACAGAATTTATCGCTTGGACGAAAGAAAAACACGTCAACGCCAAATAAAAAGGATGGCAAATCCAAAGAGGCCGTGTTTCATTTAGACAGAGTGCAGTCGGTGCCGGTGAACGATGAACTATTTTCCTCGATATCTTTTAATAGCCCGTTAAATAGCAAAACTAACAAATGTTCCAACATTAATACGGCTGAATCTTCATATGAAATTCCTAAAAGTATCAGATCTTTTTCCAGCGATTCGAGCGGACTGAGCGAAATCGCAGCAAATAAACCACTGCCATCGATTCCACCACCGTCTTATGAAGAAGTATTGAAAGAGGATGAGAAAGCAAATAACGATCGACCAAATCCGACCGCACGAACACGAAGAAAATCGAAAACAAATTCAAATGTGTATGAGAATCATACAATCAATGTGCCGAAGATAAAAGTTGAAGCCGATTTCAAAACAAATTCATCCGACGAAGAAGATGGGTATTCGTTGCCTTGTCCGAATTTTCCGGCGCCAGTATTGGAAGTGAAGGAGGGCATCTATGGTAGAATCCGATCAAAAGACCCCGACGATAACGCTGATGAAGCGGCAGCGTCAACATCAATGCAACCACCTTCTCGATCGAGACGACGAAAAGAAGATACCCAGCCCGATGTCAAAGAAGAAATCGACGGAATGAACTCAAATCGTGCCACTGCCGATTCAAATGAATTTCCCCTGGAAGGAAAATACTCCAAACTCTTGGGCGGTGAATTATCTGAAGATTTGAGTGAAAAATTGAAATTGGACGAGAGTGAAATTTTAACGCCGAGTCGAAGTGAATCGTGGTCGTACTACGATGGCAACAGTGATGATTCAAGTTCATCAGAGCCAATTTATGAGAATGAGCGGGAACTGAAATCGAAAATGGCAGCTGAATCGTCAGAACCACTTTATGGTGTTTTGTACAACAGTGAATCGCTCAATATGTTGACTCCAGTGGCAGCGGCTCGGAAGAGACGATCACAAGGCACTTCAGATCAGTATGCGGTTGTGAATAAAAGTCCTGATCTACGGCTACGAAATGGGAATGAAACAAAGGACATCCTAAAGGAATTCGATCCTCTTGATCGAAGAACGTTGGATAAAATTCTGGCTAGCAAAAGTAACGAACTGAAGCTTCTAGAAAGCATTTTGGGTAGCGAAACTTATGGAAATTGTGCAGACGAGAGTAACTATGAGTATCACAGCAATGAAACCTCGGATGGTGATGACCCCGAAGAGGTGCCAACGCCGCCTGAGCGGTTGGACTCTCTCAAAGAGTGTGCCAACGAAGAGGCTGAAGAATCTGGTGAAGGATCGTCCAAGAAAGACCAAAATGATTTATCTGGTGAAACTCGACGATCGGTTATCATTCATCAAAATGTGAAACTGCGTTCGGATAGCGATGAAAATATCGCTGACGATGCAAACAGTGCAAGTGGCGCTTCAAATACCACCGATGAAACTGTGGAAAAAACTTCAAATACCCGTTGGTTCTTTAGTTCTCCCTTAAAAAGTGACAGCAAAGCCAAAACAAAAGCCGATCGAAAAACATCAAATCCATCAAAATCCAAAGAAGAAAAAACATGCGTTGAAGAAATCGCCGAGGTTTTGGAAGATAAATCAATGACACCAATATCCAAAACGTCATCAATGAAATCGATGTTTTCGAATGTAATGAACAAAGTCGAAGGAATCAAGCGAAAAACCAGCTTCCGAAGTAACACGGCTAAAAATGATGTGAAAACCGTTCTAGAAATGATTCCGCGGCCATGTTTGACACAACGGCTGATTTTACACGAAGGCCATCTTATTCGATTGCCAACTGGTGTTGTTGAGGACATTCTGAAAGAGTTGCACTCTCGCAAAGCATACATTCGTGACAAAAAATTCCAAGCATATTTCGACAAAGATCTGAAAACGCCAAAAGAAAATATCCCACTTGAAACGATTACAACGATACAGTGTGTTAACAATCACAAGTTTACTCACAATTTCGTCGACATTTACTGCTTTGAAATCACCACATCGATTACGAAGAAGGACGGCAACAATCTATCTAATCCAAATATGGTGATTACAACAAACAACTCCGGAAATATCAAAGCCCAACGTGTATGCCATTTGTATGGAGTGGCCAAAGAGTCGGAGCGTTTCCTCTGGATGCAGAAACTACTGGAGAGTTTGACAGATACATTTCCACCTGGATTCACAAGCAAATTCTATCGAGCTGGATGGTGTTATTCGAAGGTTAGTTTCTGCTTATATAGTTTCTTTCTGAATGTTTCTTAAAAATGGGTTCACTTATTTATGAATAGAATTCCATAACCGCAACATGGTCTGGTACCTGGGTTCTGCTTCAGAAGGAAAAGCGCCGTCTTCTGTTTTACAACGTTGCCAATTCAAATTTGGAATGCATGGACCTGAGAAAGGCACGCTGTTTAGTACTTAAGGAAAGCGATGATTCCATTAAGAATCTCCATGTTGAAAGCGGACCTACATTGATGATCGATTGCCCGCCGTATACGATTTATTTCATTATGACATGCTCAAGAGAGACAAAGGTAAAGTCGAAATCATCCATGTTTTGTTCTTTTACTATATTGAGATTAATTCAATTCAGATTTGGCGCCACATCATCCAAGAAGTTGCACACAACAACGGGCCATCTTTGAAGGAGCAACAGTTAACGAAGGATGATGTTCCTGTTCTTGTCGACAAATGCATCAACTTCATTTATGCACATGGTATGTTTGAGTTGTAAACTCATCTTCCACGCAACTGATTTCCAATCTAATCCATTTTTCTTTTCGTTTCAGGTTCAATGTCTGAGGGAATTTATCGTAAGTCGGGCGCCGAAAACTCGATTCAGAAACTCTTGAAGCAATTCCGTTCAGATGCGTACTCTGTTCAAATCGTTCGATGTGATTACACGGAGCATGACGTTGCCAATGTATTGAAGCGATTTATGCGTGATTTGCCTGACCGTTTGTTGGGTCGTTGTTCGTCTAGTTTGATCAGTGTATCAAAAATGACGGGCAACCGTGAGAAAATTGAAGCATACAAAGAGCTACTCACACGTTTGCCATCCATTGAATATCACACTCTCCGGAAGCTTTTGGGCCATTTGCATTTCATTCAATCGCAAAAAGTTCAAAATAAAATGGATTACTCGAATTTGGCCATTGTATGGGGTCCAACATTATTGCAAGAGCAAAACGATGCACAGCAAGGCTACTCTCAGGACAGTGCTGATGTTATTGTTGATCTGATTCGCTTCCATAAGCATTTGTATGCATTGAGTGCGGAAGAGATAACTAAGGAGCAGCTAATGTTAGCTGTCCTTCAGAAATACCATGCAGCTGCTGAGAATTTAACCGATACAATGAAAAAATCGGGCGATTTGAAAGTGTGGATCACAATCGACACGAATCCAGAAGATGAGAAAGAAGAAAAGCAACAAATCAACGTCACACTTACACCAACCAAAACGGTCAATGACATTTGCAAAGAATTGGCACCGAAAATCAATCGTGAGTCATACTCGGTGACATTGAGTGAGATCATTTTGAATAGTACACTTCAACGGCCGCTACATCATTCGGAAAAGGTGTTTGATATTGTGTTGAAGTGGTCTTATTGGCCGGAAGCCGATCGTAAAGATAATTTCTTGCGATTAACCCCAATGAAATTTATGAAAGAAGTTGAACGTGCCTTGAAAGTACTGCCATCGGTCATTCCGAACAAAGAGCTTAAGTTTGCTGATTCACGAACCAAATCGCTAAAATCGTATACGTTAGAGTTGACCGATCACAGAATAACGGTTATGAAAAAGGAGAAGAGCCAAATCGTCACCGTGAAAGAAATCGATTTGTTGCGAACAACTGCATATCTGGGCTATGAAAAGAAACGATGCTTCCAATTGAGATGGGCCATAACACTCATCGATGATTGCAATCCGAATAATAGAGCGGAGAAGTGAGTGTGACACTTTTCGATACTGAATTATTTTTTTATTTAAATTGTTTATCTGTTTTAATTTTGCTTTTTCCTTCTGTATTTGAATCAAATTTAATTCAGATTTGTATCTCATTTCAGGAAAGAGAGAGATACTCCATTCATCGGTCATATCATAGCGGGCACCAATTCCAATGATCAAGTTGTTTGGTATTCAAGCATTTTGCACAGCTTATACAACGATGATATAATGCCAAGTCCAGAAATTATTTTACCATAAAAGCCAATTAGCGAATTTCCCCTTTTATTTTAAGTTTTTAAACAAATGTTAACATTTTTAAATTCCATTTTATCAATTTTATTGTAATTGTAGATCATTTTTATTATCATTTCATATATTCGATGGGCGTATTAAATGTTGTTCTATTAAACCGCATTTTCTTATAGAATGATTGTGTATAAACTGTAAACGTTAGAAACTAGATTTTTTATATATATAAATAATTGTAATGAATTTGCACACGATGTATGAAAGCAATTAAAAAAAATCACATATTGCCATTTTTTACTTTAATATAAATTCTATACATTATGTTTGAGTTTCATTTGCTCTGGTGATTGAAGTAATTTTAGCGAAACAAGAAATAAATAGACAATTTATTATTATTATCAAATCATATCATGCATTTATTCCAATATTATCTCCTGATACATCATTAATTTCATAGGGAAGTTTGTTTTTATCGAAAAATATCTATTTGTATGGATTCATAAATAGCGAATGACCCGGGCTGGACAGTTTCCATGCAATTTCAAAACGAATTTCGTAAAAATTAAATTTATACTCAGTAGTATACAGTTTGGTTTTATCCTACTCACTCAATATGAAAACGGGAAAATTCATAGTAAATTCGGCAATTCGACGAATTACCGAACGTTTTTTGTGTTTTCGGTAAAATGTCGAATTACCAACAATGTAAAATGGCATTTTACCAACATTATGAATATAATGTCGGCAATTTGACGATTTGCCGAAATCACACACAACATTTGGTAATTTTAAATTCACTGGAAAGGCCTCTAATGGAGCATTCAAAGAGTGGCGAATCATACTCAATTGCAATTTAACACTGTCATTGATGCAATTCACACGATAAATTATCTGAATTTATCAAAATGTCCGATTGAACAAATGCAGAAAGACAAATTTGGAGCACACGAAAAATGTAAATAGAAACGAACTGTCATCACAAAATCTAGACTCATTTAACATTATACATATTTAATTTACTGCGTTTTTTCTATCCAGTTGTTCTCTTTGCTCGATCGGACAGCCGTTCCATGATATGGCCCAGATGCAGTGTTATCATTTCTTTTGGCATTTTGATATGTTTTCTTACGTTTCACAACAGAAAAAACGGAAAAATTCTTTACACAATCACCAAAATCCGTGACTAATTCACTTCTATCAAAAAATTATTCCACAATTGATTGGAATTTTGGTTGTTTTCGGACCGTTGCACGATGATTGTATGCGTGCGTTCTGAATTTCTTCACATTTGAATCGCAGTTTTCAATCGTTTGACAGTTCACACAACCAAACAACAAATATTCCTGCACATTCGAAGTGTCAAAGTGGCATGCGTGTCTCTATTGGTAGAATCGACGGTTGCACTGGAATTTGAATTTCGAATGTTGTGTGTGATTTCGGCAAATCGTCAAATTGCCGACATTATATTCATAATGTTGGTAAAATGCCATTTTACCAACATTTTTGGAACATTGTTGGTAATTCGACATTTTACCGAAAACACAAAAAACGTTCGGTAATTCATCGAATTGCCGAAGTTACTATGAATTTTCCCGTTTTGATATTGAGTGAGTAAATATCCACTTATCTAATTTAACCGTGGTGCGAATTTAATTTAGTCAAATGAAAATTTGGTATTGCTTCCTAAATCGAACCTAAGTATTTTATATACAATTTTTTTGTCATAGTGCGTGCGATACAAAAATCTATTAAATTAAATGCGAGATTGCTTCACAGTCGATGTCGGCTGCTTGCACTGCTGTATGGAACTCGTTTGACTGGTTTCTGTCGCATACACAGCAATATTAAGAGTGTGAAACATAGCAAAAATCCAATGAAATTCAGTATTGCCGATGCAATTAGGATGTATTTGAATGGCCCCATCACTTCGTTGCAACTTAAATCTCTGCAAATCAAGAGAAGAGAAGCGAAAAAAACAGCACACAATTTATGTTGAAACCATCGAATCGGCTAAAAAAGAGCTATGATACAATCGATTGCAAAGTTTGTACCTGTAATAACTGCCATTGAATATCTCTGCATCTGCCTTTGGAATGCCAGCAACTGTACCATTTGTTGATATACCATCGAAACGGCACGTACACGCCGAACTTTCGACCAAAATGTTAACGGGTCGGCAATCAGCGATCGCTATATTGGTCAGATGGAAAATAGCAAACGATGACGCCACAAATGTGCATACAGCCGCGATGAATGTAACGAGTGTCGAATTGATGCGTAAGAATGTGATAAAATGCTGGCGTAGTGGTTTTTGTCGGGGTCTCGGTTTAAATGCCAGCACAATTATACCCAAAATTCCGGATAACATTAACTGAAATAGAAAATTGGGCAATTTTAACAGTTGATTTGTTGAGTAGAAATTAAATTTAATTAAGGCGATGCGTACTTACAATTAAACCGCTCCAGTATGGATTATCACGGGCACTTGTGCTGGGCGCCCACCAACACAACCAAAGGCCCAAGCATGAAACTGCGAGTCCGATCAGTACATGAAAATTGAACAAATATTTCACCGAGTTTGGATGGCGGATGTTCAACGGATTGCGTCGTCTAACAACTGGAAATTGTATGCACAGATAATACGTTAAATCACTAAGCAAATAATGAATGGCTTTAAAATTAGCAGAAAAAAAACAATTCGAAATCGAACAAATAGGAAAAATTGCTCGAAATCAATGAAGAATGAAATATTTGTGCGTTACCTTGATAAGTTTTTTTACCGACAAGCATTCGACTATGACGAAGACTGTTTCGCGTCGGCAAATGTGAGCCCATTATATTGCAACCTTTGATATTCTGCGGCACAGTGGTTGACATGTAAACGGCCTGACATGTAAACAATTCAAAAAACGAATGAAAAAAAAGAATTAAAAATAATACCAGATCAACGTCAACATCTTAAACCGATGAGACAAGGTGTTTAATGATCTTTGCATTTAATAAATTCGATTCAAAAGATATAACTGCAATTACGTGTTCAATTCAATTCAATTAAATTTCCTTAATGCGGTTGACTACAGTGTGGAAATGACGGCGCGAATACCGAGCATCAGCGGCGAACAAGCTGAGAATGAGCTTGCATTTACATAAACGTGTTACGAACTTGATCTGCGCGGCCGGATCACACTAGTCGAAAACATTGTAACTAATTTCGTGAAGTGTTAATTCTTTTTTGCGTAGATATTAAATTATCTTCATCGTTTTTACTCCGTCACGAGATGGGAATTCCACGAATTCTGCCATCAAAATCTCACAATTTGTGTTAAAAAGACGCCAAAGACGGAAATTCTCAACAATTATTAAAGCGTCAACATCGCGCTGATGACGGTGTGTATATTTAGCATTTGTGCTTAGAGATCTCAATATCGCGATTCATGTCAAAGGATCAATTGCAATTAATTTGTTTGCGAGTCGATTAAATACATGGCGAATCGAGAAATGAGTTCATAGTAAGGGGATTTCAATTGAGACCGGCTAATTACCTGTGACAATGGTGATTGATTCAAGCGAAAGCTGGAGCTGGTGTCAAGTGTTGTTGGCTTGGCTGGTTTCATTGACGTAGCGCATGACGCCAGATCAACTGTTTTCGAGCACGTCGGCACATTCATCGACGATATTGGAATAACACTAATTGGTGCGCCGCCAGAGTTTCGGTTCAAGCATCCATTGCACTTGTATCTATCGCTTTCGTATTGTCTTATTTCGGTGCCAGGGTCACTATCTTCCTTGCACATACAAGTGCATTCGTTGGCATCATCAATTTGATTTTGGCCATAGCACGAACTATTGCTTGGAACATTTTGATATTGTGTCGAATTTGGAGTACGATTCAAGCCGTTCGTTGCAATCCTACCACCGTAACTATTCAAAAGTGGTTCTTCTTCACTCACCGTCGACGATTCTCCCGTATTATCTCGTTCGTCTTGTGAATTTTTCTCTAAACTTTGTTTTGTTGCCCCGCCATTCGTTCTACTCTCGATTGTTATGTTTGGTTCATTGTCGTCGCTTGTTTTGTGTAAACCCAAAAATTGTGACTTTGCCACACTGTGAACTGGTTTGTTATTACCGCGATTAGCAATTGGATTTCCAGCTAAATTTGCGTAGTGTTGCGATGAATGTTTGTAGCTATTTTCAGATGACGACGATGACGACGAACTGCTCGTTGTGGACGACGACGACGACGACGAAGATGAATGATTTTGTGCGATCGTTGTCACTGTATGGACTTGGTTGCTACGAATTTGGTTCACATCGTTTCCGTTGAATTGCGGACTGTTGTTTACATTTTGATTATTGTTACGATGCAACTTGTAATTGTTATTGTTTATATTATCGTAGCCATTTGAGGAGTGAATTGTTGGAGTTGTATTTTGATTTGGCTGCTTCAATTCGTCGAAACGGAACGAGATTCCACTGAACGGAAACTCATTAACATGTTCACTTCTTTCAATGGCTTCATTTTTACATGCTGTCGTGCCATTCATTTTCGGTTCATTGTTCAAATTGTCGTATGTGCTCAGTGGCCGGGCGATCTCTTGATTTGGAGTCGAACGAAACTTAACATTCTCACCGGTCGACATCATCGTAATCAATTAAATTCTGCGGACCAAAATATAATAATAAAAATTCTCGGCTTCTTCGCGTGTCTCTACAACTTTCCTTTTTGTTGATTCGGCTGTCCTGTGTTTGCTCAATACGGACTTGTTACTTTGTATCGTAGGCGTCTCATGAATAATTGAATCTATAAAGTAAGCGAACAGAAACAAAATATAAACGATATTAACCAAATCGTTAATCAACAACCATAAAAATACTTCAATTAGCTACAAATTATGGACTGGATGATTCAAACAATAGATTCGCGTCGGGAAATTCATTCTCATCGTGATTTACAGAAGAGCAATCGGAATTTTACTCATTCATTATTCTAAACGATTGTTCGATTTCCCAATGATTGCATGCTTTTCAACCGAATAAAGCGATGCGGTTTTTCCATTCGGTTTTTTTTTCTTTTTCTTTTTCGATTCTAGTCGAATCGAATCAATAAATATCTATAAATAAGATAATTACATTCTACAGTTGAATGCTTAATCATAAAATGTAATTTAATATAAAAATCCAATGTTCTTGTTGAACTACGCATTGAGCCCTACGATTTTATGACTACAAGTCAGATAGCTATTTGTAGCTAGTAAATCATTGCCCAATGAAGTTTTTCACAGTGTTCAACAAACGTTGATCGGATAGTTTTTGATCGTTTTTTCTTTCTCAAGAATTCTGGTTTTATATCGCCCTTAAGGCAAATGGCGCTAGTTTATTTTGCAACCTTTGCGGTCCGACCCATTTTCCTTTCTTGATGTTCCACTTCAGGGAAAAACATCAGAATCAGCATGTTTACACTTTAACCGAAAATTTAAACAGAGCAAACGGTCTTACACGTTATGTTTAATGATCGAAGTTCCGCGACTTGGATAAACAAGCGACGAAAGTAACGCTTCGTATGCGTACAAACTAATTAACCGTTTACATAATGGAAAAAAACTGAACAACCCATTTTTCGTTTGGTTCGACGTTCAAAGGCGCGTCGTGCGTCGATTTACTATTTCATTTTGTGTTTACTAAACCGTTGCACTACTAACAAATAAAATAGCATACTAATGAATCGTGGCACACACTGACGCAATGACATTAAAGCAACAGAATTTAGCGCTGTAGTCAAGAATTGCTCGAATGCATCGTTTTACGAGATGCATATGTTCGGTGCCCGGTGCTCGGTGCTCACTCTCAGTTTTATTGACGTTGATTTATCAGCCAAGACAGAGTTTCACGACCCACAATTTCATAAGGAAACGCTATGGAATTGAGATTTTCCGCCTGAAATCGGCGACAAATTTTCTAATTTAAAATTCCTGTGCAATGGCATGCTGCCGATTTCATCCCACTTATTTTTACATCGTTTGTTTGCCTTGATTTATAGTCTAAGGAGCGTTTCATTTTGTTATTGTACATATGCTTGCAGTTAAACGGTGCAGCGTATGGCCAATTTATGATTTCTTCCATCTATTTTTGGAAGTGTTTTTCCGCTTAGCAATTCCATTCACTCTCATTCATACTTTACTGAGACCAAACTTCAATCGGCTTACTGAACTCTCATTAAGCGAAAGTGTAACCTCAAATCGATGTAGCTATTTTTAGTATCAAACTAAATGTGAACATTTCGTTGTAAAATTATTTTTCCATCTGCGTTTGGATCTAGTTTTGGGACAAAACATGTTTTCGATATGTTCCATATGTAAAATTCAAACCGATTTCGATCGATTCTCAATGGAATTGGCCGCCATTACGCAACATCAGTTTTTGATTGGCTTTGATCGACTGAATGAAAATGTCGGTAATATTGTAATTAATCTACGTGTATGGAATGGAGCGAGAAAAACCATGAGACGTGAATGAATCAATCGTGCTCTCGAGCAGTTGTTTCATGAATTTCAATTAGATTGTAATGAATTAGCCCGTCGTCGTTTATGATATCTCGCAATGTTCTACATTGCACACATCTAAGCATCTATCTGACAGCTTGAACTGATCGAGATAGGCAGCAAGTTTTGTGGTGTGATGTGTTTTGTCTTTCGTTTGTTTTCAGTGCGTTTCAACCAGGCAAGCAGATGATTCAAAGCATAAATCAATTTTCTTCGTTGTTTCATTTATCGAAGCCATGACATTAAACCATGTTATTATTAATTTATGAATACAAAACGAATTAAATGCCACACAATTACGAGGGAGCAAATTCAAATTCAAATTGAAACAAATAAAAAAAAAGCATTTGCAACTTTCCGGCCGAGAGTAGTGTATTTGCTTGATTGGAATCGAACAAACAAAAACTCGTGATTTTGATGATTAGACTGAACATTTCGTGAACAATGAAAGATTTTACGAATTATAAGCAAACGAACGCACAACGCTGTGAACACCAAATATATTTTGCCAACTATGGTTATTTACATGAACAATAGCCGCATTCGAGCGAACAATCAACGACATTATGACAGTTCGAAAGAAATTTCGTTCAACGACAACGCCAGCGATGGCGACAACGATATGGAATACAGTTGGCTAATAGATTTTTTTTCTTTTTTTTTTCAAACAAAAAATAGGGAATGGCATGAAACACGTACTGTGAATGTATTTCGATTTTGCTTGTAAATAAATAAAATGTGAAACGAGCGACAGAAACGCGGTATTTTAGCTGAAAAAATGTGTGCATGTCAGAGAATGTGTGAGATTGTATTGGAAATGAAACGAAACGAAAAAAAAAAATATGTCGTAGCGGCAAAATTGCAACACACAAACTGGAGAAATAGTGGTAACAACAAATGGAAATGATGAATGTGTGTACGTTCAGATTTCATAGTACAATTTATATATGATGCAGATCAAGAGAGAAAATTTAATGCTTCTTCTTCTTTTTTTGCTTGCTTTGCTTTCAGTATGCACAACGGAAGTTTGGTCATTTCGAGCAGTGAAATTATTTTCAATGAATCACTGACACAATAAAAATACGAAGCATTGTCTTTAAGATGCTCACACAAATGTTGTAATCTCGCCGATGGATGCATGTCATGATCTCGGCGTGACATGGATTAAATTCGTCCAAGTCAAGAGATCATAATTGTGCGTAGGTAGTGCCTAATAAAAATCCATCTCACTTCACCAATTTTCTTATGAACATACATCAAGACCCTTGATTCAAGAGGTTGCCAAAGATACGCACACACAAATACACACTCGATGATGGCAAATGCCCTCGAGAAATGATAATCAAATTTTTTGATCCAATACACTTGCTAATTGAATTATTATTATTTCTATTTTCGGGCAAAAAATCGATGGCTCTACACACTTTGAGGCAATAGCACACACTCGACGCTCAAATTGTTCACATTATTCTTTTTGTTCATAAATTTTATTTCCAACATTCATTTTTTTTCTTCTTTGTAGCACATTCGAAAGGTACTTAGCCTCGATATGGCAAAAAAAAAACGATTGCACACACGATTATTTTGCTTCTGCAAATCAGGTGCGCATAACTTTGCACATTTAGTGAGTTCGCTATAAGTTCACCCGAATGGATTTCCACTTGGTCGTGTACGGCACAGCGAAAAAAAAAACAGTCAACTAAAACAAGGCCATCGGCCAATAATAAATATATATAATATATATGCGATTCGCACTCACACAAATCAACACACCGATCCATTCAACTTTCTTCACAAAAATGCTCACTTTTCCGAATGCGCTGCAATTTTGCAGCGACATGCCATCGATTACTCGACTTTTTGAATATGAGAGTCGAGCTGAAATCGAACAATCCATTTGAAAATATGCAGAACAAATAAGTCGAAAAACCAGTATTTCACGTAAAGAAGTAAAAAATAAAACAGGGAACTACAGTCACTGTATGAAATACCGTAATTTATCAAATGAAGAAAGAAAAAACTGTACGATAGTTGTATTACATTATTGTGGATGGTGGGAAACGCGAGACGATATTGTGTGCGAGTTCGCTGCGCAAATGATTTATGTCAAATCGATTAGTTATCGTAGTTTTGCCCACAAGATAAAATCGGCTAGTGGCTGCACCAATAAAAATAAAACACACAGTTTCACTACAAATTATTTTGCACTTAGTGGAAGAAAAAGTCAATCTGCCCGAAGTCAGATAAATACGTGGAAAATATCACAAAATAAAAAAAAACTCGCACTGATTGCTCTCCGTCTCTCGGTGTAATAAGTCTTTTGCACGGCTGACAGAAGAAAAAACGTAAATATGATGAAGAAAGTTGGATGTGATGCGGAGACCGTGAATGGCTGCGTTCAGTACAAACCGAGAAAAAATAGCAGGTCCGCGTCGTAGCAATCGCTTGGCTAAACTGAATCTCTGCATGACACCAAAACTAACAACACTGTTGCTGCTCGGCTGCTACAACAGAATCACACACTGAATCACCGACCAAGAAATTGTTTTCAACACAAAGACACACAAACGCAGCTACACCATAGCTGTGTTGAATACTTGAGTCTCTCGCACAGCGAAACTACAACCAATCGGGAAATAAAGAACTTCGAATAAATTGTTGAGTTGTATAGTTAACAGTGGCTGTACGCTGTTACATCCAAATGAACACCAACACACGGACAACGCGACGTTGGCTCGATTCATGTTTACGTGTGTTTTACCTCGTCGTCTCTCGCTCGCTTCGATTTATTATTACACAAGTGATTGTTCTTCGATTTGTGTTGTGATCATCACCGCATCGTTTTTGTTTCGGTTTCTGTGCTTGTATATGTTAATGTGCTACGATACACAGAGTGCATGAACAAAGTTCTCATGCAACGTCAGAGGATCTTCCTATTTGAATGGAACTTGGACCGGGATATTTCCAACACCTTTATTGCAATCTGACATCATTCAATACGGAATTTTTAGTATTTACTCGATTTTCCCCGTTTTACTCGATTTACTTGAATCACTTACGAATTGAGCAATTGACAGCAATCAAAGATGTAATATCTTCAAATAAGCAATGGAATAAAACTTCTTTTCAATTCGATCGAATACCAATAGCAATGTCAAAAATGCGGTCACTTACAGCGTATTATTTTCCGAACGATAAAACAAATCGACTCAAATCGCGTGAATGAACTTGAGTCATTTCAATAATATTCACACGATTTTACAAATTCCTAGAAAACGCGATCCAATCGCACACACATTGTACTAATCGTTGAATAAGATCCAATTCCAATGTGTTAATTTGAAGCCAATTAACTAGCAAGCGATTGATATCTGGACTATTATGATTAAGCGCAATTTAATGATTTCATTTTACTTTCGTACCATGTCGACTTTTAATTAATTTCCATACGCGTGCTCGAAGTGCACGCAGTTCCATTCTAAACTTGCAAACAGAGGAGAGCGAAAAAACGTTTTGCTGCATTTATCGCGTTTGTGAATTAAAGAGTAACCAAGCAATTTTCGTGGATATTTTTATTTTAATGACGCTTATGCTACAAAGTAATAAGTACAGTACACTCATTACCGTACATTCGAAGTAAATGACCTTGCCATGCGTATTTTTTTTCCCTCAATTCGACGAAGAACGTCATTTTTATGGAAGAAATTATCGATATTATTTTCAGTACAACGTTTTTTTCCTTTCATTCTAGCGGCACAATGAAAAAAGTGAATAAATTCCGTAATCGAATATTGGAATTGAAAAATCGAAAACATGAAATCCCATTAGAATAAATTGTTTGTGCATGCACGATAGAAACCAACGCACTGAAGTAGGTATTAATTTCCTTTGATCAAAGTCATCGTTTTTTTTAATCCACTTTTTTCGTTTCGGTTCTTTTTCTTTTTCGGTAAAGTATCGCAGATCATTTCACAAATGGAAGACTCATTTATATCTCAAGAACTCGATGAAATAAGCTATTCTTCTTCTTTTTTTTTGTTCAGAGTGCATGGATTTAAATTAGTCTCACTATCATCACCACGCACACACAATATCGAACACTAACGTGACTTAGCATAAATACGAAATCAATGCCATAAGAGCATAACAATGGCCCGATAAAAAAACAACGATTATCAAATTCTAATAATCACTATTCTGAAACATGAGAATGGGGCGAACGAATCGCATTACATGAGCCATATTCCCAAAGTCAATCACGTTCACAAGACGCCTGCTAAACATATTCCAACAACAACAACCACATACGTTATGTATTATGTACCATGAAATGCGTTCATTGACCAAGCCGATTAAAGCATCGAGGAAAATGCAAACAATTTTGCTCAGTCTTTCGATTGTAGCCTTGAAAAGAATGCACATCGTTTTGTTTACTCGCACACTCATTTGCCACGGCACAAATAACACAAAGAGATGATATTGTCTGACGCGTCCGACGTACGTACTCAAGCCCGGAAAAAATGCTTTCCAAGCGAACTAATCCAATGAACAGATGAATATTTAAGTGTTTTTGCCGCTTCACATAATATTTATATTACACATTTTCGACCTATTTATATAAAACGAAATATGTAATATATAATATGGCAATCGGACACCGTGAAAATGAATTCAAAACATACGCTTCGATGATCATATTTTTAATACACCGGCGGCAAAACAAAAGAGGGCGAATCACGCCATCTCATTGTCAGGCGCTGAATTTGAAATGAACGAATGGAAATGGTGGCGAATTTCAGGCGTTTCTTGCCGACTGCTTTTAATTTGATGGGTTTTGAATGGCATTGAATGAAAGAGTTGTTTGTTCATTCCGTTCTCTGTCCATTTCTCATATAAAAGAGAATACAAGAATCGACTCATTCTCATGACCATTGCAGATTTTTGAAAGTGATATTTTAAACCGGAAATTTTTCCTACGAATAAATTAAATTTTCGACCACTTTAGATGATTTTTCCGAAATAAGCGTCCAACAGAGTTTCGATTTTGGAGTTTCAAATATTTCTGTTATAAAATTTAAAATTTATCTCTGAAAAAATGCCCATATTCATCGAATATTGTTTACATATTAACGGTAACGATCAATTTTCGACACCGATTCGAAAATCAGTTGGCGATTTCTGCATTCTCGCGCGTATTAATTTGATCGCTATTAATTTGATCATGTATGAGTCGTTGTGGTCCGTTCGCTTACACTGCTGTCTGATGTTCGAACAACATCTAATGGTAACGAGCTAATCGGTTCGGAATATCACTAGCTCGTTGGCTAGGTGGTTTGCGCACGTTTCGGCAGCGCGCTTGTGTTTGTACACACATTATGTGCTTACAGTATCGTGCGCGTCACGGCTGTTCGATGCCAAAGAAGACCGACTCTTACAACCAGTTTGCATTGGAGTCTCAAGCAGTACGGATGTATGTCGATGCGCGTTTCGATTTTACAACTCTTCGACAAAACGAAATGATGAAGTTTATTTGCAACAGTGTGTAAAGTGATCGCGTGCTTTTTTCCCAGCTACACTAAAATTGTTTGGTTTTCGTAATCGAAGTGGTAGCAATATTCAAAACAAATATAAAGGTGAATTCTCAATTTTTAAAGAGAAAAAAATTCATTGATGAATGATAAGGTGATAGCGAAAGCTAATTTTCAAGAACACAAAAGCGAAACTACGGTGTTGGTGTTTCAAATGTCATTCAGAGAGAGAAAAAATTGTTTAAAACAACTCAGAAAAGGCAAAAATTGGTATAAGATTTCTTATAATGTCGCAACGACGTAGGCGGTGTTCAGTGTTCATTTCAGCGAAAATAGCGACAGCAAAACGGCGACAGTGTGTGGTGGCTGCCATTTAATATTCAATCGGTCGGTTTTTACCAATTTTGGCTAGCTGCTGTTCGCTTTTGTCTATGCGAGCAAATTGCGAAATATCGACGACGATGCTGTTATTATTGTTTGCACTCCAAAAGGCCCAGGCTGAGAAGTCAAGTATTGAGGTTTCAGTGCAATATGCTTCGAAACAACAAGCACCATCGATAAAACCTGTTATTTGTATATTTGGCCACATTCGAAATAGCAACGAAATCGATTTATCGAAATAAAACCGAAACTCTGTTTTCCGTCTATCTGCATATGCATGTATACATACATATATCGAACGAACGGACGATGTGTTGTCGTTTACTTGCTAAACCATATGATTACAAACCGATCGCTACCAATTTAAAATGCAAAATACGTACGACGATTTTATGATACAACACTAATTCATCTAACCAGTAATCACATGCAGAAAGCTTTATTTATTGCTGTATATTCGTTTTGTGTCGAATCGTGAATGTGAAAAAGACAAGAGAAGAAATGAACAAAAAAATTATTTAAATTTTATCAAAATTTGACTTCTTCGAATTGATGGTGTAACTATGTGCTAAAATAGCTTTCACAAAATGCGGCTTAAAGTTGTGATTATTTTTTTCTCGATTATACAGTTTACGTTTACGTTGAGAAAGCAGGAAGAACTATGAAATGTTATCAGAATGGATCATTTTATTTTCATCGATTTACAACCGCCACTTAAGTGAATTTCAATTTCACATTCTGATTCCAATTCTCTTCAATCCATTCAAATCAACTTGTTTTTTTTTGTTTCTTTTTTCCTCGAAATTCTATTCCATTCGATTCATATGACTGCTTTCTATTTATTTTACGATCAACCAAAAAAAGTATATTTCTTTTCTTGTAGCGATTCATGGGTTGAATGATTTCCGACGCGATTTCTTGTGTTTGTTCAGTTTTGATTCATTTGTTCGATGATTCATTCGTTTTTCTCTTCATTCTGTTTGGTCATTCGATTATGGCGGATGAAATATGGGGCAATCGAAAGAAATAGATGTGACAAGCGTGCATTAGCACAAGAAACTGGCATAAAATTCTGTTCAATCCACGATAAAAGTGGTCTGAATGAGTCAGTAAGCCTACTCAATCAGATGGCCTCGATCCATCCAGCGTCCGAAGGAGAGAGAAACAACAAAAAACAGAATCATTAAAAATTCACTCGACAACTGCATCGAGTACAAAAACAAACAGAAAAAATGGGGAGAGAGACAAAAAACAGAATCGAAATCGTATTTGCAGAAGTGTTTTCTTTGGAGTGAAACCTACATTCACAGCGAGTCTCACCGTTTATGTAACGAATCACACGATTCATTCTTGTAGCGCCTTATAAGTAGATGAGCGAGTGTATGCATTATCCGGTGACTGTGTTCTTTTCCTGTTGTCAGTTTTTAAGCGTCGTTTTTTTGTTTTCGCCACTTCGTTCGCCAATTCGTTGTGTTTGCGAAATTTTCGACTCTTGCCCAACCGGACGATCATTCGAAAACTGTCGTCGGTGTGAAAAAAAAAGTGCGAAAGACCTCTTTCTCTCATCGCAAGAATGCCGAGAATTGGGTCATTGTTGACCCTTCTTCGCCTCTCCATTCATTTTCATACGTTATCGCACACTATTAATTTCATTATGGGCCCCGTCATTTTCTCTGTCAATATTGGCTTATACCCAGAACCATTCTCACATGTCAATATTCATATTTATATTTATTGACGTCGCAACCATTCTCACACAAAGTCAACCGGCCAGAGACGACACAAAAGAAAAACGATGAAGACACAAAACTTTCTTGTTTCCGTTGTTATTTAAAACAAGTTTTTGACACACATTCTACACACAAAGTTCAGTTTCTTTGTTCGGCTGCTTGCGGCGGATAAAAATGATTTATTGAATACATATCGGTTAGAGTGATTTTGTTTTGTTGTTGTTGCTGTGTTCGCGATCGATTGTGATGAATTTTCCACAAATGGTTATTAACCGATTCCACTCTTCAGCCGTTAATCATGGGCTTTGATTCAACGTGCATACACTTTTTAAATGTCAGCCAGAGCGTCGTTATTTTTTTTCGTTCGTTCGTTTTCCTACGGTTTCTTCAGCTATGTTTTATCTCAAAATATCATACAGTCTCAAATGCAATTTATCGCCATCGTGCTACGCCCGGTGAATGTTATGACGGCGACGATACGTTGTTTTTTGTCAGAGATTATGCTGTCGGTTGTGGTATTTGATAGTCATGTTTGCATCGAAATGCAATTAGCTCCGTTTTTTCTTGCTGCAGCTTCCATCTCAAATCTCTATTAATATTTTCAATTTTCCGCAATTCATTTTGCGCTTCTACGGCATGTTTTTCACATAAAAATCAATTTATTGCAGCGCCTGATTTGATTTATATTCCGTTAAATTCGAAACTTTCCCGCTTTTCATTTCTTTTTTTCTTTTTTTATTCAATATTTGACGCATTCTTCCGTTTTATGAGAAAACGCATTCACTGTCAAACAAAAATTTCATTGAGTTTCTTAATTAAAGCCTTAGTTTCATTCAAATGAAGCGAAAAAAAAATTGACGCGTCTCAATTTCATTATCAAAGCGATAATCCATCCAGGAAGTTGTAAAGTGACCGTTCATAGCATTCATAACGAAGAGAAAGTTTATAACATAAGCGTGACGATTTGTCGCCAATAACGCTTTGCCATTTGGACGGAAACGCTTCAATGGACAAATGAACGCAAATTAACTCATTTTCGGTCGAAATTCGCTCGCTTTGTCAACGATGACATTCTTCTTTTTTTGCCTTCATCTTCTTCATAAAGCGTTGAAAATTGCGGAACTTCTCACATTTTTGGACAGTGTTAGCGTGAACAGTAAATTTGTTCGCGTGCTCAAATAACAATGGATTAAAATCAATCAAAAGCGCTGATTCACTGAGCTCCAAGCTTCGAAAATTCATTTTGATTCAAAATAATTTAAAAATTACTTAAACCCAAAACAGTCAACACGTTTGCCGTGGACTGAAGCCTCGAATTTCGAGGTTTCCATGAATGAACACGACATTTTAGGGGACACATGAAAAGAACCAAAGAATTGCATGTGTTAACGTTCACCATCTGTGCACTCACCGACTGTGCGTGCGGTGAAATGAGAATGTCTTGGAAGTGAAGAGAAAAAAGTATACGATATTCAGAACCGAAGCAGACATTGTATTCAGTTTGATGGCTTTTGTCTTGTGCATATAATGACGTTTGTTTCTTTTTTTATCGTTTCAGACTTGAGTGGTTTTGTGCACCTGAACAAACTCAACCGAATGGTTGGTTGAGGTGAAAACCCAAGCGCACACCAAACAAGAAGCAAGAAAGCAACTAAACGAACTACAACACACACCTACATTTTATGCGGATTGCAATTGAAAGAATGGACGGTTGAAAAAAAAATAATTACGAAAAAAGCGGTGAAATAGTCTAACGAATTCGAAAAGTGAATGTGAATTCAAGAAGTTGAAGCTGAATAGTTGAACGTGCACTTATGCCGACTGTGGAATAAAATGTGGAAATTCGGTGGTGTCGATTGTGTGTGATCATTTAAAAACGATCGAAAAAATTATTCAAAAATATCAAACAGTGAATGTGCGGTGTTGCGTCTAATCAAATTCACCGTATGCCTCTCGCACATTGCATTGGCCACAGAGTGTATGTGTATGTGTGTTTTCAATGAGTGAATGCTGCCCTTTTTTTTCCTAATGAACGTTCAATTAAATTACACTTTGCGATTAACTAAATGCGTCTATCGTATTCGATTTTTTTACATAAATTACGATTGATCGCAATCCGGTACAAAACTGCAGGAACTGTAGTAAAACATTTGGCATTATCGCAATTGAATTATAAAACCAAGCAAATAGTGTACATAATAATATGAAAAAAGTGAAATTAGATTATCGACAACACACTGGCAATCATCGAGGGAAACAGCGATCACGTCCGATTGCCGCATTTCTCAAGACAATGTTTAAATTAGAAAATGTTACGATTTTAGTTTTAGTAGTGTTAGCACATCAAATCCATGGAATTTATTCACAAGGTAAGGATCACACATTTTGTACACATTAATTGAAGACCAGCAAATTTGTAGTGCTTAACATACGAAATGTTGTAACGAAAAACAAACCCAAAACAAAACTCTTATTTTGTGGGACTTCATTCGAGCACACAACGAAAAGAGTGTTGTGTGGCTTCTGATGTCGCAACCGTAGCGCATTTGTTGACATATTTTGCAATCAGCCAAGAGTTGCAGCCGCTTGCAAACAATTTTCGGATAACACAATGAACTACTTGTAGATTCTCAACTCACGATTTCGTGAACGAGTCGAAACTTCGTTCCGTTGTCGAGCCTCGTGCACTGCAGAAAATATTAAACCTTGTTCAAAGTCTTCGTTCGATATACGACCGAATGCTAAAATTGCCATTGCACATTCACTTCGTCTCCGATTCTGCAAGTCTCGCTCTGTTTATAAATGTGCACTTCTCGTAAGTCAAGCACATGCGATTAATGTTGTGCCAGTCGCAGCGCGCACATACACAAAAAAACCGATGGGTAAGACCATTTCATTCCAACTTTCATGCCGTCTCGATCGAATCTTTTTTTTTGGCGTGCAGAAATCCTGTTTTTGCACCAATACAACGAAGAGGCACGCATTCAAACCGAACAAATGGAAATTTTACAGCATTTTTTCCTGCTGCTGTATGCGGTTGGCCATTGCATTGATTGTCTGCGTGTGAGTGAATGGTGCAAGTTATTTCGGGTCTCTGGCTCGTTATTTGCACGTTTTTATCGATTACCGGTCATTCGGTGTGAGAGAAGCAACAAAAATTCAGGTTTTCTGTTTGTGTTTGCTTTTTTTGCCTGTGTCCATTTTTACAAATGTTTCAAACAAACATTTTACAACAGCAACTGTTATTTCTCAACGCATACTAGCCCGTTCATGCTACGACTCTAATGAGCCACGCGCTCATACAGCGATGGATAATGGAATAACACTTGTATGGGTCGTGCTGTACGCGGCAAACGAAAAACAAAAGGAAAAGTTGTATGTTTAGTTTGGGTTTTTGAAAAGTGCACGAAAATGCCATAAATTTGCATTTATCACATATTTTGTGTTGTTGCTGGATTCAGCGTCATAGCGCGTTTGCATAAATCCAAATGGTCGTGTCGATTATGGCGATATGACAGCGAACACCGTTTCAATTGGCGATGTGTTGAGCATGTGCAGATTCCATGTTTTGCATTGGCCAACCGGACTTGTGCGTCTATAAATGGGTATAAAACAGATGCGGTCGAGAGGTAGCCGTTTTTATGCGGCGAGAAAGCAAAAGTTATGCTATTGAACTCATTAAAACGCACGCGTTACGATCAAACCAGACGTTTTTTTCCTTCACCTCTTATCGATTACACTTTCGATATTTACTGTTTTGCCCAGTGCATCGAACATCGCACTGAACATTGCTGGAGGAATGAATGTTTTTAGGATCGTGCACAAAACTATATTGCATGCGATATAATCTAGATTTTCTAATTCTCATGCTCCAACTTTAAACTCAAATGAAAATTTCCATTTCGTTTTATTCATTTCGAATATATATATATATGTATCGGTGTATTGTGGCTGCTTATTTCACTTTGGAGAAATATTTTCACAATGAAAATAACGAACGCAGTCGAGTTTCTCGCTTTTTTGCGCAAGTCTTTTTAATTACGTATCGAGCGCACGTACTCAATTTGATATTTCAAAATAAAAACAATCGATTCAACATACGTGCTTGAATTTGGAGCAAAGAAGAAAAAATCAATGCGAATTAAGATAATAACAAGTAGCAGTGAAAGAAATTCCCTTGACGAAAATACACACTTTTTTTCATGCAAAAACCACATTTGATTCGCGTCATTCGCGCCAACTATTCTATTTTTCATCAAAGTAAATATTCAAATTCGATCTATATTTTACATAAAAAGATTGTGTTTCTGCTGTTTTTTTCTCTGTTTGGTCCTATGGAAATGAAGTGCGGCAGCCAGACAGACACACCATGTCAAATACACGCAGGCCTCGATTCACTGGAATATTTCCATATTAATATCCGAACAAACAAATTATTAGAACCTGAAGAATGAGCTCATGGGAAGATTTGTTCGAGCATGTCTTAGTCCGTTGTCTCTCTTTCTCCTTTTCTGTATTTCCAACATGAATTTGTTTCGCGTGTGTTTGGCTTTGTTTCTCACGCGTAATTTAGTTTCGTGGTTCTACTGTTTATTGAGCTCGGGTATTTGATTTTCTTTTCAAATTGGATCGAATTTTCCCATGACAAAAGCCGATACATTCGTACTGCGTTTTTATTCCTATGTTGCTATATATATCTCACTCTTTTTGTGAGCCACAAATTGAAATGATGGCGTTTCACGAAGCTACCCATTTTCAATGGCTCGCGGTAGTGCGATGCATTTCAACTCCGATCCATAATGGCAACTAATAATATTTATTCATATTTTCATTGTTCAGTCGTCGGCGCTTAGCGGTTAACTCACATAATTACAAATCTCCAACTCTTTTATGCACGTCGTCGTCTATTGTCTGTTTGGTTGGCGTTTTTCTTTCGTCGATTCATCGTTGTAACGAATACGCGGCCGCTGCCACTGCTTATATTCGCCATTCGTTATAATTTAACACTTGCGTGATTCGAATGGGCGATTTTTGTGAAATTGAACTTCGACCACTTTAGCTTTTGTGGTTGACCATTTAGACTCACATTTTCTGTACAATTGACGACAGCATTAAGCTTACCTCAAACTAGCATTATGATATACGAACAACAATGTTGATATCATTCATAAGTTTGGAGCTGGTAATTGAAGTGCTCGTGGTTTGATCTAATTTTCACATTCAACTGATTAAAGCCAGTGGTTTGAAACCACAACTTTCCTATTCCGAGTGAATTTAGTTTGGTTTTTACCATTAACAACAAAACCTGATTCTCAATATCACAAATCATATGAATCCAAAGAACAAAACTCAATCGAATCGATCTAAGTTTAATCAACGCTTTGGAAATGATAATTTCCGATCGGGATTCGTCGAGATAGCAAAGTAAAAATGAGAGTGAAGGAAGAAAAAAAAACATGATGAAATGAAAAAAAAACGCAAACACACAGGAAATAAATCGCGTTGCTGCTGTGTTGATCAATTTATTAAGCAGCGAAAACATGGTATAATTCATTTGCCGTTAAGAAGCATAATCACGAGAGTGCATTCAGTTGTAACGAAAGGGAGTGAATGAATCCAAAGCGAGCAACCAAAGAAGAATATAATTTTATCATTGCTGCAATCGTTTGCTAATGTGAATGGCACGAAGGTTATTAGTATCTCCCTCTCTCTCACTTTTTTTTTGTTTTGATAAATCACTTGTAACAATTGTTCGCTTTTGAATATATGCAAAAAGTGAGCAGTTGGATGAAAATTGGCGTAAAGAGAGAAAATCTCTACCTATTCATTTGTTTGAATTGGCTTAAATGCGATTTGTTGTTTGCATTTGCAACGGTTACTGTTGATTTAACCTGTTCATTTCATTTATCTCTTGCACAAAACCTAATCATATTAAAATGGTTTAGCAATCGGTGCGCATTTGTTGTTCGGCTCTTTTGTTCGAATGATGAATTCCATTGCGGCCATTTCCATTCTTGTGCAACTCGAACAGTTTTTTCTTTTGAAATATGAATTCTCTTTCTAGCGTTTTCGAACAAATTATTAGCGAAGGTTGGAATCATAAAAGTGTGATCTTCTGACTGAAGAAGGAAGGCGTGCCAACAAAGTTAGCTTGCTCGCATGTTTAAGGTTGAGCAAAGTTCATCGTACGTGATTATTCTTAGAGCAGAGAAAAAAGAGACACGAGAAAGGCGAGAAAGAATAAATTATGCGTAGAATTAAAAGAGTCAGGCTCAACAATAATAACAGCAGCAGCAACGAAAACAGCAAGAAAAAAAATAAAATAATAAATACTTTTGTAGGATTTTGTGTCATGTGAACAATGTTCTGCGTCGTTCATTCTTCGCAACAGTGTTCATCGAATCAGATGTGCGCGTCCATCGCCCGACAAAACAGAAAACACCAAGCCGACGTAGCCAAACCAACGCCGCCTTTGCATTGTTCGGCCGAGCTCAACATGAAAATTCCGCTTGGACGCGAACAAAAACACACTTGCACCACACCAGCTAATTTTTTCCTGGCACGCTAACGAATGACAGTGACGGCATTTGTTATGTTGATTTTTTTCTCTTCTCTTTTTCTTTCTCTTTCAATTCGGTTTCAACATGAACGATAGTAATGGCATGCATTCTCAAGAATTGCATTTAGATGCTGAAGCTACCGCCGTCACGTTTTCTAAACAAAAACCCCAACCATTTATGTCATGCATTAATTGTGCGCGAATCGGTTTGTGAATAGAATTGTTAACAGTAATCATAGTCTTGCTGAAATGAGCTCAATCTATTATTTATCTCAACGCAGTGGACGGAGGCACTTTTCGCATTCTGAGACGTCCAATCACAAAATTATGACAAAACATGCACTCGTTTCATTCACTTCGTTGTCATTGCATGCGAAGTGGAAACTGAACTGAAACGAAATGGAAACAAAATGCGAGAGTCTTTTTGCAATTTTCACTTTAAGTGAAATGTTTCTTTTTTCTTGCTATAGCAAGCGTTTATACTAGTAAGCGCTATGACAAGTGTAAATAATCTACTCTGTACTGAGTTGACTTGGGATCCAAAGAGTTTTTTATTGAAAATGAAATCAAATGAATTAAGTCATCAATGCTCGAACGAATCTTCGTTCGCATCTCAATCGCCCATTTTGAACGGTTTGTCAACTCGCTTTGACATTTGAGCGTGAGTCAAGGTCAATTTTGGCACACCACAAACGTGATTTCATCTCACACTCTTTTTTCTTTTAATTTGTCTTTCTATGCATGCCATGGATTCGATCGACCGTTGTGGCGCTGTAATTCCACTAATGAATGGCTAAATGATTCTCCTCA